TACTTTTTCCAAGATACTGTTTTTCTCCTGGAAAATGTGGTTCATCCACCACAAGGATCCATCAAGGTGTCTTTTTTAATAAAACTGATTTTCATAAATATATTAGAAATAAATGCAATGGAGAAAACAGTTGCAGAGAGATTTTGGTTTTGTTTGCTGCTGTTTTGGATCTTGCTGAAAGAAATGTTCTTCTCACCTGAAGCTGTCTCTTCCATCTATGTCCTCTGTCTGCCTCCCAATTAACCAACCTTTCCTTCAGTGACTGCTAAGTCAGCATTCAAATAGTCAAACTGATGCCACCATATTAATGACTTGACAAACCTTCTACGAGCATGTGTCCTTGGCAACAGACTCTCCTCCTCCATGTTTAACTCCTCAGACTCTAGAAAGAATTATTGGTTCTGGCTCCATTTCCTACTTTTACATTCACTTCTTGGGCAACTTTCTCATGTGACATCCACTCTGCGACCTTATTGCTCAGGCCTCCTGGGTCACGCTGTACCTGACCACACTAAGACTGGGCCATTTTTCTCTACACTTTTTTATTATATATTTAAATTAGAAACAAGCTTGCTTCCCATGTCAGTCCCAGCTCCCTCTCCCTCCCCTCCACACCTGCTCTCCCCCACCAGACCCCCCAACCTCCACCCAGAGGAATTCAAAATTTAAAATGCAATGCCATGTACATTACACACACACACACACACACACACGTGTGTGTGTGTGTTGTTTGTATAAATTGAATGAGAAACAGTATTAAGCTGCTTAAAAAAACTGAAGAGTTAAATAAATGGAGAATTATTTCAAGGCAATGGATAGGAAGACTCAGTACTAAGAAGAGAGCCTTTTCCAAGTCCATCTATAGGTTTAGTACACTTATAATTAAAAGCTCTAGAGTTGATCTATGGATATCATCAAATTTTCCTAAAGTTTATATGGAGAGATAAAACATAGACTGGGCCATTTTTGAGTTTTCTGCCTTATAATTGCATCATTTTTTGAATGCTAACATCACCTCTTTCTGATCCTCTTGCTGGTTTGGGTGATTTCTTTCATAAATTTCATGGATTCTACATGTTTCTAAATATTGATGTCCCTGGATGCCCTCATCTTCCCACTGTATACTCTGCTTGGCTATGCCTTCTACTCACATGCTGACTGCAGGCAAATCGGTAACTTAAGCACGGATATTTTCAATTTTGTATAGATGCTTTCCTCAAATTCTCTGGGCATATACACCAATCTTCAAAGTTAAAGAAAGAAAGTTAGGTGGCTGGAGAAAAGGCTCACTGTTTAAGAGCACTGGATGGTTTTCTTTAGGACCAGGGTTCAATGTCCAGCACCCTCATACTGCTCACAGCCATTTAAGGATAACCAACACCTTCTTCTGGCGTCCCAAAACACTAGGCATGCATGTGGTATGCAGATATACATGCAGAGAAAACATGCACATAAAATAAAATAAATAAAAATTAAATGATGTCATTAATTTTGCTTATTTGTCTAAAACAGGAGAAAGATGTTATCCCTTTAATTATACATTTATTATAAGTAATGTCCTCCTTGGCATCTTTGTTCTTCCATTTCTGGGTGACAGAAAACATACTTGTCTCAAGCTCTGTATGTATGCAAAGCTACCAGGAAACTCAACATCTGTTGAGTGCCTCTTGTAGGGAGCTGGTCACACAGACATATCTCAGGTGTGTACCCTGCCACAAACCTTCTTCATCCTTGGTTCCAGAAAAACCAGGTGATAATTACCCAAACTAAATAGTCACGGTTGTGGGAACTCTGAGGGGAGGCAGTGCAGCTCAGCAGCGTTTCTCAACTAGGATGGCAGGAGCTGACATGGGAGGGAAGATGCACCTGGTTCCAGGTGAGGTGAAGTTCTACCACTTGGGCTATTTTCTTGTCAGTCTGGGGTCTCAATTTCCACAACTATAAGATGAGAAGTTGTTTGCACTTTTTGAGAACTTATCAACAGCAACAGCATAGATCCAGGATAATACATTTTTCACATTCAAAATGCATTCTCAACTTATTCAAGTTACTAGTTCATGTCTCTCAGGGCTGTAGAAGCCATCTTAAAGAACTGTGGTTCTGTGGGCATGAGGAACAATTGCTTTTCAAGGTCACCCAATAAGGGTCAGGGTGACCTTTAACTACTTTAATTAATGATGAAGTTTTAGAAATAGTGGTCAAGAAAGTGAATGTGTATTTGGTGATTCCTGATTTAGGAATATGTAATGCAGATAGGTGAGCTAAGAGCAGTTTGATCAAACAGAAGAAAAACATTTCTAAATAAATAAGCATGCATGATAATATATTTAAACAAATATTTTGAAGAGAGAAATTAACCAAAAAGACGATGCTAAGAAGAGGCTAACCTGGAGTACTGCAGTGATGCTCTTTCCAACAAGCAAGCAAGAAAACAATCAAACAAACAAAATACTGGAACCATGGGGGTCAGTGTCACTTGGGTAGGTTAATTGCTGGAATGTCTGCATCCTCCAACTGATGTCATTTTATTAGAGAGGTAAGATGATCTAAAACAGGATAAACATGGCAAAGCCCCAGTGTAGGAGCCCAGAGCTCTTCACATCTTTAGTGTTTCAGGTTGTGGTTGATCCTGACTTCACCAAAAGCAAGGAAGCTTCATAGCCCTGGAGGCAGCATGTGACCAGATAGTTTTGTGGGGTTTTCTGTGCAGCTTCTGTCTTAGCCACAGAAGTGCATACTGCCACCTGATGGACATCCTGAGAAGTTGCAACTAAATTTTTTTTAATTGTGAAATTCAACTAGAGACAATAAACAACAAAATGTTTTTATAAACATACAAAAGTGAAAAATTCATATAAGGACTTTAGGAAGAATACATTCAGGTGAAAAGACGGAGATTTCATCAAATAAGTTAAATAGCATTAACAAATAGATAATTCTTAAAGTTCTTGTTGTTTTACTATTTTAGGAACTAAGGGTCCATGAACTTCTGAAAGTTTTGTCAGAAAACACACTTGCAGTTGGCACAATAGTTGGTATATATTATTTGATTGTGTCAAGATCCAGTCTGTGCTTCACACATGTGTGACAAGCACTCTGTTGGATTATGGCCCTCCTGGCATATTTTATATCTTTTGAAGTGATGCTCTGTCATCAGGTTTTGTCTCAAGAAGAAACAAGCAAAGAAAATAGTAAAGATGCAAACACATGTGCCCATTTCTTAACAAAGTTCTTGCATTAGTCCTTTACAATATTAATCTTAAAAGCACATGGCTATGATAGTCATATGTAGAAGTTCTGGCAGGTCAGCCTGCAAGGGAAATGTAAAGCTGATATTTCATTCTGCGTCCTTCAATTTCAAGGCTTGTGCTATTTCTCCAAAGTTAGAAAAATATCTTTTGAAGAAAATTGATTTATCTAGTAAAGGAAAGGCATGCACCATGATTTTGGGGGGGGGTGTTATTAGCTTAGGAGAAAAAGATCCTGAAAAGGTGAGGTGGCACAGTAATGTAGAAGAAAGCCCAGATAAAGCTCATCTTTGTGGAGGTGAAATAAATCTGGAGAAGAATTTGTGGACAATACAAAAGAACAGAAGATAACATCAAGATAGAAACTTCATAGGTATACCTTCTACTGCTTTTCAAAAATACATCTATTCACACAAAAGACTGACTATGCGAAGAATAGAAACACAAGAATGATCACACCAAAGACAATGTATTTTCGGTGTGGACACCATGTCTGCAGTCTTTAACCACCTTTCAACACAATTGCCCTTCAGCATCACCTGCTCTTTCTGCATCACTCATATCGCCTTTGCTTTATTCTTTTAGAGTTAGTATGTTTGATTACACAAGTAAAGCTATCATTTTCCATCTTAGCATCCAAATGCAGCAGATTCACAGAATAGCTTTTCTGACCCATTGATTATTACTTGCTAAAACTCCAGATGAAAACTACTAAACACACAGAGTTACATTTTCCACTAACCATATTTGACTTGAGATAATGAGTGCATAAGTAAATAACATACTTTTATAAAGAAATGGACAAGGTTTGGGAATATATAGACTGATTACACATAAATGTTATTATTCCCAGCACTCCTCTGCCTTCTTTTTTCATTTAAAAACAAAACTTGGTAGTTTTTCGTGCCAGTACCCAAAGATACCAATAGCAGTATGTAGCACTACATACATATCAGTGTAATACTTAATAATGCAGGCATACCATGTTTTATTCATCGTTCTTCTATTGTTGGTAATATTCTTGACAGTAGATGGGCTCTGGAATGGATTCCTGTCGAAAGAAAACTGCATTGGTAGAGAAACTGCAGACTTGAGATAAAGTAAGTATACATAATAATTGATTACTAGATTGATGGACCCTGGTATTCTCGTGATTGCTTTGTGGCTTTAGCCTTAATCTTGGATCTGGGTGAAGGGTGTATGGAACCCTGGACTTATTTTTAAGTCTAAAAATTGAAATAGTTAAATCAGTTCTATGAGCCCGGATCGTAGGTGAAACGGGAAGGAGAGTGTGAGGAAGAGACCACCAGGGTGGATTCAGCAAAGGTGGAGAGTTGGAACAGTAGGAAGGGACTGCATCTTCTGCTCCAAGTTGAGGAATTTATATCCTTTACTGCAAGGCATGGCTGGTCAAAAGACTCCAAAGCCCAAGAGAGAGGTCAGGTCTGCTCTTGAGAAGCCTCCCTGAAAACCAGAAATGCTGTGGCGCGCACGTGGAGTGGTACGGGGGACACCCAGGATAAGCTTAGATAGGGCAACTCAGAAGGAGGCAGTAGAAGCAAGGGTCTTGAGGAGACGGAAATTTTATTTCCAGGGCTGAGGCAGGAGTGGTGAAGGATATTTAGGCACCAACTGCTCTTGGGCTCACTGCCCAGTTCTACCCGCTGTAAGGAGGAGCCTCGAGCCTCCACCACAGTGAGGGAAGGGCAAGCCAGGCCTCGAGGGCTGAACGTTGGTGTCTTTGCTCTTCATCTTCCAGGGGGTGACACCAGGCATCCCTCATCCCCTCCTTTAGCTGGACCTGCTGGGGAAGAAGGCACAGCAGGAGCCTTGCCACCCTCAGCCCGGGCCTGACCCAGCAGCACAGGTACTGACTGAACTTTAGGAGCTCATGCTACCAAGGGCCATAGACCCCAGCAAAAGAGCCAATTTAGTCATTAAAGGTTCCAGTGTGGCTGAGAGGGCCCATTTTGCTATGGTGTAAAACAACTTTCTTTCCTTTCTTTCGACTTTATGTCTACTACCCATCCCTGATGTAAACAGCCATGGAAAATCCATGTTCCAGAGAACACCAGTGATTTTGTTCTAAAAATCCAATAACCTTGGAGTGAGCAGGTCTGAAGAGCATGTTCACAGGCAATTAACATGTTCTACCGAAGGTGTAGGAGACCACTGCAATATCAAAAAATAAGTAAAACACACAGTATAAATTTATAATATTAAAACACATGGTATGGCTTTACAATAATACACACACAACACACATATGTGACTTCACATTATTAAAAACACACACAGTGCACACACACACACAAACACATAGTTGCTTTGGTTTGTTGACATAATTCGTGCCCAGCATGCACTAGTCTGCCTGTGACGTCGCCTCTTCTCTGGAGGCCAGTCTCAGTTGGCCAGTATTTTCTTTTTCAGTTTCTCCAAAATTTTATTTTAATTTAAATCACAGGGCCGGCCAGATATCTGATAAGAAATTCACTTTTCCTCAGGAGAAAGGAAACACTTCCTTGTCATTAACAATTGTATACAACTCATACTTTTTTTATGGATAAAAAAAACCACATTAAATAACTGCCTTAAGTAAAATTAAATCTTTATAACATCAAAGAAAAAGAAACCATGCCCAGAATAATCATTTTGGTAATAGGAACCTAGTAAATGATTACACATCAAATGCAACTTTTTTCTCAATATATGTTTTTATTTAAATTAGAAACATGCATGTCAATCCCAGCTCCCTCTTCCACCCCTCCTCCCTTGTCCCTCCACCAGCCCCCCCACATCATTCCCCAGGGAGGGAGAGCACCTCCTTGGGGGGATCTACAGAGTCTGTCATTTCATCCAGGGTAGGACCTAGGTCCTCTCCATATGTCCAGGCTGAGAGAGCATCCATCTATGTGGAATGGGCTCCCAAAATTCATTCGCACTCCATGGTAAACACTAATCTACTACCTAAGGCCCCAGAGATTTCTGAGGCCTCCTCACGGACACTGCATTCATGGAGTCTGGATCAGTCCCCTGTTGGCCTCTCAGTCATTAGTCTGGGGTCCAAGAGCTCCCCCTTGTCTGGTCAGCTGTCATTGTGGGTTTCACCAGCATGGTCTTGACCCCTTTGCTCATCACTCCTCTATCTCTGTCACTGGGTTCCAGGAGTTCAGTTCAGTGTTTAGCTGTGGGTGTCTGTCTCTGCATCCATCAGTCACTGGATGAAGGTTCTAGGATGGCATATAAGGTAGTCATCAACCTTATCATCAAGGAGGGGCTATTAGTGTAGTCTCTCCGCTATTGCTTAGTGTTATCCTTGTAGATCTCTGGAAATCGCACTAGCGTCAGCTCTCTCCTCAAACCTATAATGACTCCATCTATTGTGGTATCTCTCATCCTGCTCTCTATTCTTATCCCAACTCAACCTCTCCCCCCCATGTCTTCTTCTCCCCTACTCTTCTCCCCTCTCTTTTTTCCTGGTTCCCTTTTTATGGCTAATATTTTCTAAAGGGAAATTTGGCATTAAGTACATTAAGATGTTGTTTGGGCACACAAAGATAACGGTGTTCATATTCTCTCATGTTTCATATTTCTTTTCCTTTTTCATGCAGAAGTAGACAAATGGCAAGCAAAAAGCGTGAAGTCCAGCTACAGGTGGGTCTGCCATGCCAGCAAGTGTTTGTCTGGTGCAATGACACTTCCTGCATCTTACAGATGCCAGCAAGTGTTTGTCTGGTGCAATGACACTTCCTGCATCTTACAGATGCCAGCAAGTGTTTGTCTGGTGCAATGACACTTCCTGCATCTTACAGATGCCAGCAAGTGTTTGTCTGGTGCAATGACACTTCCTGCATCTTACAGATGCCAGCAAGTGTTTGTCTGGTGCAATGACACTTCCTGCATCTTACAGTGCTTTGCTTTTTGCAGTCGGTCATCAATAGTCAGAACCTGTGGGATGAGATGTTGCTGAATAAAGGCCTAACAGGTACTGGGGATTTCTGCTCTCTGTATCTAGGGGACACCTTGCAGAATTTGACTCTACATTTCAAAGCTACCTTCCTGCCTTCCTCATCTGGGATGGGAATGTGCCAGTCTCTAATTCTTTGACTCTGTCTTTTCATTAATGGCACTATCTTCTAGTGATTGATGTTTACCAGGCTTGGTGTGGACCTTGCAAAGCTGTGCAAGCTTTATTCAGAAAACTGAAAAATGAACTGAATGAAGATGAGATTCTTCATTTCGCCGTTGTAAGCTTTTCATTTTCATTCAATGTTTTTTTTGTCACATTAGGGCTTAAGGACTCCCCAGTACTTCAAGTATTGTCTTAACTTAAGCAACCTGTCAATCTGCACTCTAAACAATGTTTGCCTTGGAATTTACTATACGCTTAGTTCTCCTAGTTTAAGAATAAGTTATGAGCTCTACCTAATTTCTGTGATGCTGAGATAACTTGTCATGACTGCAAACCTTAAGAAAATATAAAAATGGACACATGTCTGTTGATATTTCTTTCACTTCATTACTTGGTCAATATGTGTCCTTGAGTACATTAAGATTATGGAGAGCTGTGTCTAAGGGTCAGGGAGTAAATCCATAGATACTTATCTATGCACAAATATTTCAAAGGAAGTAATTTCTCTTTTCATCTATTAGTTATAAAAAGTTATGAGATTAAATATCATAGCCAAATTCATTTAACTCAGTCATATTGATTATTCAATTTATCTATATCCATGTTAACAGTCTGTTAGAATCTTATTGTTCAATGTGCCTTTATGTATAAACAGAGCACTTGAAAGCTATCTAGACCAATTACAGACATGCATTTTCAATTTTTATTAATTTAATCTTAAAAACTGAGGGCTAAATAGGAAAGCAAGATAGGTGGGACTAGGAGTCTAGGAGAATTCTGGGAAATGTAGTGAAGAGAACTGTCACGATCTGATTTCTGAAGGAAGAATGCAAGTCTGGAGTTCTCAGAAAGATAATTCCTTATAAAAATATATATTGGTGATTGTGGATTAATGATTAAGTCAGAGCTAGCTGATTAGAAACCATAGCAAACGGTCAACAGCTTTATAATTAATATAATGTCTTGTGTGTTATTTGGGGGCTAAAGCAGAAATGGGGACCCAGGCAGGATCCTACAATAACACTTGACAAGTAGAACCTCATAAAATGAAATAACTTCTGTACAGCTAAGGAAATAATCAAGAGAAGGTCCACAGAGTGGTAGGGACACTTTCCCAGCTATGCAGCTGATAGATGATTAATATCCAGAATACACAAAGAACTAAAGAAAAAGCAGAGCCAAGAACATAAACAACCCAATTATTCAGATATTTTTTATTGATCTTGATGGAAAAAAAACAATCTTATGGTTTTCTTTGTGTAGATGTTACATGTTGATAATTCATAGCTTTGTATCTTATAATATGTTCTTACTATTCTGTGGGATACTACTATACCCTGCATATTTATACTGAAGCCATCCACTTGTGATGAACTTGTTTAGTATATCAAAACATTATTTATGCAAAAAAAACTGAGGGCTATTGAGATAGCTCAGTGGGTAAAAGCACTTTCTGGCAGGCCTGATGACCTACGTTTGATCCCTGGAACTCAAATGGTGGAAGTAGAGAGAGATTCTCTCTCTCTCTGTCTATCTGCCTGTCTGCCTTCCTGCCTGCCTGCCTGTCTGTCTGTCTCTCTTGCATACAAATACATTTTAAAAATTAAAAACTGTTATTACTAAAATAAATTGTTGTGAGATTTAACATTTGGCTATGTAAATCTACTTTTAGTAGAGGCCAGGTATTGATCAATAATTATTTACTGAATATCAATCACTAAAACATGCCTTAAATTTTGCAAAATAATAACTTTTTATGGAAAATGATATGAAACATACTATTAATATTGAATATGTGTTGAACTGATATTGAGTTAAGGAAAATATTTTAGTGCTTTACTTTCACCCGTTTCTTTCATGTGACTACCAGAGAACCTAAAATTCATTTCTCTTAGACAGATGCATACTGAGTCAGCCAGGTGTAAACTGACAAAAGAGGGTACTCCAGATTTATAAGCTGCATAATCTGTGAACAGACATAAAACCTCCACTCACTGCATGTTTTGGGCGTATGCCTTCCTTGCCCTTCAAGACACACTTGGAGTCAGTTTGCTTTCCGACCTCACAAGTTGTCAACTAGACATCCTCTTCTGCACAAACATTTTGTTCTTTTCTTTATAACTTTTAATTTTGTACACATATGTGTCTTTGTGTATGTATATGTATCTCTCTGTCTTTCTCTCTTCTTCTCTCTTTTCCTCTCTCTCTCTCTCTCTCTCTCTCTCTCTCTCTCTCTCTCTCTCTCTCTCTCTCTCTCTCTCTCTGTATGTCTGTGTCTGTGTCTTTCTGTAAGGGGTTGTCTGTGTGTGAGACCATGAATGTTGAGTGCAAGTATACCAAGAGGCCAGAGGTGTTGGATCCCCTGGAGCTAGAATTAAATATAGTTGGAAAAGCATTACTTTTCTAACAAAGCAAGTGAGACAGCTTCATACCTGCCTGTAGTACAGCACTGAAAGGGAAAGTCTTCCTTGGGTGAGGGTCAGTCAAGTTCAATATGGAGCCAGAAGCAAGCTGTCAGGTAGGAGTAAGAAACATTATTTGGATCAAGGACGCTTGGGCTGGACTGGAGGAGTAATGGCAGGACCAGGAAGAGAGGAAGGTAGAAACATAGAGGTGAGTTTGGCTACAGACAGCAAATAACACAGGGTGTAAGTGGCTAATGCATGCAGTTTGATCCTTAATACAACTATCACAAACTCAAAAAATGTTGCAATCCCAGAAATAACTATGCATATCTCTATATCATCTGGACATAGCATACAGAATAGAGTGGATATTGATTTATCATTATTGTCTAAAATATTTACAATATCCTTCAGGCTGAAGCTGACAGCATTGTGACTCTGCAGTCATTTAGAGACAAATGTGAGCCAGTGTTCCTCTTTAGTCTCGTAAGTATAGTATTCTTCATGTCATTATCAGAGTCTTGTGAAGGAGCTGTTTGCTGGTGGTAGTATTTGCACAGTGTTTGCCTTATCTCTGTTTGTCTGATAATAAATTTAATAATTTGCCTTTGGGGAGCTTGTTAAGACTATCACATACTGAACCAGGTGGTGGTGGTGCATGCCTTTAATCCCAGCACTTGGGAGGCAGAGGCAGGTGGATCTCTGTGAGTTCGAGGCCAGGCTGGACCGACAGCCTCCAAAACAATACAGAGAAACCTTGTCTCGTAAACCCCCCCCCCAAAAGACTATCACATACTGAGCTGATTAGAAAAAAGACAAATAAGTTGGCATTGACTGGAATTATTAATTGCTCTCAGATGAGCTTCAGGAAAGAATTGCTTCTAAGTACTCATGGATTTGTGTGAAAGCAACTGTCTAATCACTCTTTCTAATGCATTCTGCTCCCATATCTGTGTTTACAAATGTTTAGGAATATCCTAGAAAGTTTATATTTTATTTTATTTTTATTTTTTTGGTTTCTGGAGACAGGGTTTCTCTGTGGCTTCAGAGGCTGTCCTGGAACTAGCTCTTGAAGACCAGGCTGATCTGGAACTCACAGAGATATGTCTGCCCAAAATATATTCCTGAGTTGTTCTCATTGTTTTCTTCACAGGGGATTGAGGTGATCTTATTTATCCTTTACACTTGTCTGTATGTGCCTATATTTTGCATTGAACACACAACTACAATAGTCAGAAAACAATATAACAAACATTGTTTCCTAAAACCAGTCTACAGTTAAGTACTCAATCCTGTGGGTAGTCAAGAGAAATGTCAGCCGAAGCAAATGTCACTTGGTTAACCTTATGGTGCAGGGTACTTGTTTTCAATACTAGAAATAATTATTAATAGCACTTCTTGTATATAAACTCTTGTAACCATTTCAAAAAATGAACTATTGACTTACTTGAATAAAAATATGTTATGTTCTTGCATTATATTGACTGTATAGTGCTCGGTGTTTTCAGCTTTTGAAGCAAGATTTTTTTTGTAGAGTGACAGTTTTGAAGCCACCTAGCCTATAAATTGTTTAAGGAATTAGGATCAGAAAGTGCACAAAGGGAAAGACTGTCCACCTCAGAGCATTCTGCCTGCAGAAGTGATGACTATTTTTTCTCTCAGATTTTTGTCACACCTTGAGCGAAGTAGAGGTCTCTCTTACTTCCTATCACTCACACTTCAGTTACTTTATTTTCCTTTGTTTTAGGATTCACATTTTGTTAATTTTCTTTTTTCCCACCTCAGTTCTGTCACTTCAAATCTTAGAGTAAATTCTTTTCATAACTTCACAGATTGGCATGTGGCTCAAAGTCTGACTTTCAAACCCAAGTTCTCTTGTCCTCCTGGGGGTTTCATTATCTATTTTGACACCTCACTCTGCCATGGCTGGGTGAATTCTTAATCTTATTTCCACCAAAGATCATCCCTCCCAGCATACCTTATCCACTAAGCACTGTGGTCATGCCTCAAGTACTCTGTTCTGTACATACCACATGGAGGACCACTCATGGGAGAAGAGTATTCCCTAACTACAAAACTGCCTTCCAGTTGACCATTCATTACTTAAACACTCCCATCTCAACCTCTTTCATTAATCAATTTTCTCGACTAACAAAAACTTCATTCTAACAACAGCTCTGCTCAAGAGAATTGTCAGGCTGGTATCGGACTGAGAATTCTTGGACCTAAAACTGACACAGACAGACATCTTCTCTTGCTCACTCCACTCCTTCCCACAATTCAGCTTCACAATTGGAATTTTAATTTTGGGGCTGGTGGGATGGTTCAGTAGATAAGTGCACATCTCCCACACCAGTGTCTCACAGTCACCTGTAACTCCAGCTCCAGGCTGACCCCACGTGTACACACACACACACACACACACACACACACACACACTCATGAAGACACATAAAACAAAATAAATCTTTTCAAAAAATGTTAGTCATTCCACAGTCCATTCACAGTCCTTATTTCAGTAGTCTAGTGGTTTTTGGCTGAGTGAAGGAGGTTTTCTTCCAAGGTGGTCAGGGCTCCATATGGTCTGGATCTCTCTGGGTGTTGAGAGCATGTAAACTGAGTTCAATGCCTCTTTCCCAGAGGGTCTCTTCACTTACCATGTCTCCTACATGCCCTCTGACCTTGTATCTGTCATCCCTTCTGTATAGGTTATTTTCTCTTTTCCTTTTCCCTTTCATGTTCTCTTATTATCTTTCATATTTTTATTTTATTTTACTTAATTTTATGAATATAGAAGGAAATACACATATTGGAAATTCTAACATTTCATGTCATCATATTGTATAAAAAGCACAAAAAAAAAAAGAAAACTTCTTCCCTGGAGAAGTCCTTAGGTAGCAGTCCAGTGTATGTTAATATCTCTTTTACTTTTAGATTTTAAGTTACTAACTTTTCTTTTTATATATATATATGTGTGTGTGTGTGTGTATACATATGTGTGTACATATATATGTATATATATATACACGCATACACAGTTTATTTAACTTTTTACACATCTTACTCTCAGTTCCCTTTCCCTCCCCTTTTCCCCCGGCCTACCATTCCTCCCAACCCCCTTCCCCCTCCATCTCCCTTCCACTCCCCAGGGAGGGTAAGTCCTTCCATGAGGGATTTTCAGAGTCTGTCATATAATCCCAGGCAGGGCCTAGGTCCTCCACCATGTGTCCAGGCTGAGAGAGCATCCTTTCGTGTGGAATGGGCTCCCAGAGTCTATTTGTATGCCAGGAATAAATACTGATCTGTTCTCCAAGGTCCCATAAATTGCCGAGGCCTCTTCTCTGAACCTCAGGTTCTGGGGGTGGGGGGGTCTGGATCAGTACCATGATGGTCTCTCAGTCGTCAGTGTGGGTTCCATGTGTTCCCCCTTATTTAGGTCAGCTGCCCCAGTGGGTTTCGTCAGCCTGGTCTTGATTCCTTTGCTCATCACTCCTCTTTGCAACTGGGTTCCAGGAGTTCAGTTCTATTTTTAGCTGTGGGTGTCTGCCTCTGCTTCTGTCAGCCACTGGATGAGGGTTCTAGGATAGCATATAAGGAAGTCATCAATCTTGTTATCAGGGAAGGGCATTTAAGGTAGCCTTAATGCCAGTTGGTGTCGTTTTTGTAGATCTGTGAAGATCTCCCTAGTGCCAGGTCTTTCCTCTAACTTATAATGGTTTCCTCTATTATCTCTCATCCTTCTCTCCTCTATTCTTGCCCTGGATCAACCTTCTTGTTCTCCCCTCTTCTTCTCCCCTTCTCTTTCTGCCATCTCTGTCTCCCCTCCCCTCCCCTGCTCCCAATCCAATTAGATCTCCTCACATAACCCTTCTCCAAGTTACCATGCATATCTCTCTTAGGGTCCTCCCTGCTTCCCAGACTCTCTGGAGGTGGGATCATAGGCTGGCAATCCCCTGCTCTATGTCTAAAATCTATATATGAGTGAGTACATAGCATGTTTGTCTTTTTGTGACTAGGTTATCTCACTCAGGATGGTGTCTTCTAATACCATCCATTTGCCTGCAAATTTCAAGGTTCCATTTTTTTCTGCTGAGTAGTACTCCATTGTGTAGATGTACCACATTTTCTCTATCCACTCTTCAGTTGAGGGGAATATAGGTTGCTTGCAGGTTATGTCTATTGCAAGTAATGCTGCTATGAACATAGTTGAGCAGATAAGTTGGAATACGAGCTTTTTTTGTTTTTATGAGACAGGGTTTCTCTGTATTGTTTTGGAGGCTATCAGTGGAATACAAGCTTTGAAGGCACAACATACCCAAACCTATGGGATACTCTGAAAGTAGTTCTAAGAAGAAAGTTCATAGCACTAAGTGCCCACATGAAGAAACTGGAGAATTGTCACACTAGAGAATTAACAGAGCACCTGAAAGCACTAGGAGAAAAAGAAGTAAACTCACTCAGGAAATTTTCAAATTGACATCTGAAATCAAAAAGTAGAAACAAAGAAGAGAAGAAAAAGAATCAATGAAACAAAGAGTTGGTTCTTTGATATAGAGAAACCTTCATTAAACCTAATCAAAAGATAGAGAGAGAACATACTAATTAACAAAATCAGAAATGAAAAGGGGGACATAACAACAGACACTGGGGAAATCCAAAGAATCATCAGGTCATACTTTGAAAACCTGTACTTCCTTAAATTGGAAAATTTAAAGGAAATGGATGATTTTCTGGATAGATATCACTTACCAAAATTAAATCAAGAACAGATAAACAATTTAAACAGATCTATAAACCCTAAAGAAATAGAAGCAGCCATAATCTTCTAACCAAAAGAGTCCAGGGCCAGATGGCTTCAGTGAAGAATTCTATCAAAAGTTCAAGGAAAAGTTAATACCAATGCTCTTCAAACTGTTCCACACAATAGAGGCAGAATGATCACTGCCAAACTCTTTTTACAAGGCTACAATTACATTAGTACCCAAACCACACAAAGACACAGCAAGATAGGGAGTTACAGACCAATCTCCTTCATGAACATAGATGCAAAAATACTCAATAAAATACTGGCAAATCGAATCCAAGAACACATCAGAAAAATCATGCACCATGATCAAGTAGGCTTCATCCCAGGGATGCTGGGATGGTTCAAACACAAAAATCCATCAATGTAATCCACCATATACACAATCTGAAAAAGAAAAACCACATGATCATCTCACTAGATTCAGAAAAAGCCTTTGACAAAATCCAGCACTCCTTCATGATAAAGATCTTGGAGAGATCAGGGATAACAGGAGCATACCTAAATATAATAAAAGTAATATACAGAAAACCGACATCCAACATCAAACTAAATGGAAAGAAACTCAATGTGATTCCTATAAAAATCAGGAACAAGACAAGGATGTCCCTTCTCTCCATATCTCTTCAATATTGTACTTGAAGTTCTTGCTAGAGCAATAAGACAACAAAAGGAGATCAAGGGAATACAAATTGGAAAGGAAGAAGTCAAACTTTCACTATTTGCAGATGATATGATAGTCTATATAAGCGACCCAAAGCATTCTATGAGGGAACTCCTAGAGCTGATAAACACCTTCATCAAAGTGGCAGGATAAAAAATTAACTAAAAAATATCAGTATCTCTACTATATATAGACAATAAAGGGGATGAGAAACAAATCAGAGAAATATCACTCATTATAATAGCCACAAACACCATAAAATATCTTGGGGTAACTCTAGCAAAGCAGGCAAAAGATCTGTATAACAAGAACTTTGAATCTTTAAAGAAAGAAAGAAGATACTAGAAAATGGAAAAATCTCCCATGTTCTTGGATAGGTAGGATCAACGTAGTAAAAATGGCAATCTTGCCAAAAGTAATCTACAGATTCAATGCAATCCCTATCATAATACCAGCACAATTTTTCACAGACCTCAAAAGGACAGTCCTCAACTTTATATGGAAAAACAAAAGACCCAGGATTGCCAAAACAACTCTGTACAATAGAGGAACTTCAGGAGGCATCACCATCCCTGACTTCAAGCTCTACTATAGAGCTATAGTCCTGAAAACAGCTTGGTATTGGCACAAAAACAGACAGGTAGACAAATGGAATCAAATCGAAGACCCTGATATCAACTCACATACCTTTGAACACCTGATCTTTGACAAGGAAGCTAAAATTATACAATTGCAAAAGGAAAGCATCTTCAACAAATATTGCTGGAGTAACTGAATACTGGCATGTAAAAGACAGCAGATAGATCCATATCTATCACCATGCACAAAACTTAAGTCCAAATGGATCAAAGACCTCAACATAAATCCAGCCACACTGAAACCTCTTAGAAGAGAAAGTGGGAAGTACTCTTGAATGAATTGGTACAGGAGACTGCTTCCTGAACATATCACCAGTAGAACAGACACCGAGATCCACAATTAATAAATGGGACCTCCTGAAACTGAAAAGCTTCTCTAAGGCAAAAACAGTCAACAAGACAAAAAGGCAACCCACAGAATGGGAAAAGATATTTACTAACCCCACATCTGACAGAGGGCTGATCTCCAAAATGTACAAAGAACTCAAGAAGCAAGTCTCCAAAACACTGAAGGATCCAATTAAAAAGTGGGGTATAGAACTAAATATAGAATTTTCAATAGAGGAGTCTAAAATGGCTGAGAGACACTTGAGAAAGTGCTCAGCATCCTTAGCCTTCAGGGAAATGCAAATCAGAACAACTCTGTGATACCATCTCACTCCCATCAGAATGGCTAAAATCAAAACTACTAATGACAGTTTATGATGGAGGGGATGTGGAGAAAGGGGAACAATCTTCTACTGCTGGTGGGAATGCCAACTTGTACAGCCACTGTGGAGATTGGTATAGAGATTCCTCAGGAAAATGGAAATCAGCCTACCACAAAATCCAGCAATTCCACTCTTAGGCATATACCCAAAAGATGTACATCTTTCATATCTTAAAGTAAGAAACATTTCCTGATATTTAATGATACCTCAGCTCATTTCCCTGATGGGATAAGTTCTTGTAGATCTTCTGGGTGTTCCAAGCCTCCCTTAGTGGTACCCATATGGTTGCTATTCCACATGTGTCTGTACTCTTCTGGGTCTTTTGGGTTTTTGTTTATTATTTAATACGGTTAGACACAAGGCCTCTCATTCCATGCCACTATGCCTGGTTCTATGTCCATAAGCAGGTGCCTAGTGCATATAAAGTAAAAGACAGACAAAAGGGGTGTGGCATCTATCTTAGTTTGTCATCCTGACACAACAGTCATGTAGCAGTGAAGTCTTAATTGAGGAATTGCTTGAATCACATTGGGCTGTGGGCATGTTTGTGGGTGCTTGGCTTGATACTGATTGATGTAGAAGGGGCCAGCCCTTTGTAAGTGGCACTATTCTTAGGCATGCAGTCCTAACCTATTTAAGAATGCTTGAGGGCAACCAGCAAGTAGTAGTCCTCTATGTGCTCTACTTCAAGTTCCTGCCCTGATTTCTATCAGTGATAGATTGTGATCGAGAAGAAAAGCTCAGATAAACATTTTCCTTCCCAAATTGCCTTTGGTCAGTGTGTACAGCAACAGAAAGGAAATCAGAACATCATTAGATCAAATTAAACGTTCTGTCTAGAATCGCTCACATTTAAAGCAAGGATGAATAAGGTAGGTATCCTGTGAGTGCTCCTGTATGGTGGTGACATGCTGTAGGTAATGGGGGTACAGCCAGACATGTGTGTACCCCCATTAGGATGCTTTAAGGAAATGTGCATACAGCCATGACTTATGTAGAGGGCCGACAAAATGTGGAACTCTAATTGCTGATGTTACCAAATCAAAGTGAAACAGTTCCATCACTATTATGTTCAAATGGCTGATTACAGTATCCTAAAGATGTTTGGTGTGATATGGGATTAAACAGAGTAAATGTTAATTATTGACTTCACATAAAAGTAAAAGTCCCTTAATACTTTCCTTTCTCTTGTAGAATGGTAAAATTGTTGCAAAGATTCAGGGTGCAAATGCACCACTTATCAATAAAAAGGTCACTAACTTGATAGAAGAAGAGAGGAAAATTGTAGCAGGTGAAATGATTCGTCCTCAGGTAACACTATTGATGAATGGCTATTATAACTTTTGAAATGCAATATATTTTGTGTTTCCTAAAGCATTTTCCCTAATTAGATGTTTCAGGCCATTTTATGTCACTGTGATAAAATAGCCAAGGCATTTGGCTTATAAAAAAGGACAAGGGTTTCACAGGTCACTCCACTGTCTTTCCTTCCTTTTGGTTCAGGGTTGTGACAAGACAGCACATCATGGCAGGCAGTTTGTAGAGAACCAAGTCATTCAATTTATGGGGGTCAAGAAGTGAAAAGGAAAGAGGAATAGATCAGGGTCGTACAGACCCTTCAAGGGCATGTCTTAAATGAATTATGTTGTTGCAACTAGACCTTACTTAAAAATTGCTTCCCACTAGCACCACAGACTTTGGGATTCAGCCTCTGACAAATGGGGTCTCAGGGACACTTTATGAGAACTATAGTGCTCTATATCTAGCTAGTGCTGGCATGTTGCAGCTTCCTCAGGAAGCATGTTGCTACTGCAAATCAAAGGATCATTTATGTTTTACCTTCTATTCCCCCTGACTTTTATTTATTACAAACAAAATTCCTAGGCATTCTTTGACTATCATACTAAAGTAATTGTTTTGCTTTCTTTTCTCTTTCACAGTACACAGAAATTCCACTAGTAGAGCAATCTGATGAAGAGTTGGGGGAATCACAGTATGATAATGCTGGTAAGTAGCAAAGTAAGGGAGTCCAGTGACTGTATTTGCACATGCACTCCTTCACTACCCTATTGTAGCAATGAAGAGCTGCTGTGTCAGTGAGAGTCAGTGCAGGCTGTCCTGCTGCATAATGACTCAAATCTTTTGTCTGTTTAAAGACCCTCAAAGCTTTTCTAGGAGCATGCGTTCCTATCTTCTGCAACTGATCTGGGACCCAGTTTCCAGTTCATCTTTCACCTTCAAACCTTGTGAAAATAATTTCTTCTTTGAATTCAGTATTTTTGACTTAATCTCAGTTGAGAATCCCATGCCTTTACTGGAGTCTCTATGTCAGTATTTCTCAACTTGTGGGTCACAACCCCTTGAAGTCAAAGGACCCTTTCATGAGGGTTTCCTAAGACTGTCAGAAAACGCAGATATTTACACTACAGCTGATAACAGTAGCAAAGTTACAGTTATGACGCAGCAATGAAAATAATCTTATGGTTGGAGTCACCACAACATGAGGAACTACATTAAAGGGTTGCAGCATTAGGAAGGTTGAGAACCACTGCTCTGTGTATTTGTGTGTGCATCTGTTTGACTGTGTGCATGCACTCACGTGCTCGTGCTAAACTCATGAGCACACACTCATAACTTGTTTTACACACATGGGTATGTATGTTCATTCCCTATGGGGGTAGAAAGATGAAGATTTTCTGACATTCAGGATATGATATGATGGATAGTGTAAACTGTCAGTTTGCCAGAATCTAGAGTCACCCAGGGCAGAAATGTTTGTGCATGTATGTTCAGGGTCACCTTGATTAGGTTATCTGAGGTGGGAAGACCTGCCCACTTGTAGATGATACTGTTACCATTACCTGGGTCAGACCTTGGAAAGCATAAAAAGGGACCAATAGCTGAACAGCAACTTTCATTCTTTGCCTCTTGACTGGGGATGTGATATAAGCAGCTGCTTCAACATCCCGCCATCTTGGCTTCCCCACCATGGGGGACAGTTTTCTTGATCTGTGAACCAGAATAAACCCTTTTTGGGGTAAGTCACTTTTGCCCTGTATTTTGTCATAGTAACAGGAAGGGTAACTAAGACAACTGGTATAGAAAGTTTGTGATAAAATTGAATTTCTTATATGGTATCTCTGTTGGTTTGTGTTTTATATTTGCACAGTGCATTGCCAAAGCTTCACTCACTGTTAACACTGACTGGTAGGAACCATGTTTGTGATTCTACTGTATGAGAATTGTTTCAAATCTACACATGCCTGTATACTCATATCATGTCTCCTTAATAACTCCGACATTACAAATTCGTATTTCTTATTGCCAGACCTTTCATTATCCTGGTTCTGAGACAAGAAAATTAACTTTTTGTTTTCCTCTTAGGGGAAATTTTCTATATTGCTATTATCAAACCCAATGCTGTACTCAGGAGAAAAAATATAGAAATTAAGGAAAAAGTAAGTAATACCAAAAGTTGTTTGACTTAATTGCAAATTATGATAAAATGGAACACATTGAATTGCTGTTCCTAGCTCTCTCTCTAGGATTTTGCTTATTCTGTCTTACAAAGATCTCTCACTGTATCTTCATTGAATTAACTGCTTTCCCACCACCCTACAGAAACTTTCATTATTTTAGACATTATATGTGTTTGTTATAAATGTTCTTTCTGTTTAGCTATTAGTGATACAATATTGTTATAAACTCACATTAGCTTGCTTTTTTCTTGTGTGATATAAATGGTGGTACTTTTCAATACATAATAATTTAAGACACCAATCAGTGCTTTCTTTTAGACCATATATATGCATTATATAGAAATATTTATAAGATACAATCTTCACAGTTTCTTACATTATGTGAAATTGATTTTAACTCAGGTAAACATTTCCTATAAAAAGTTAAAGTGACTAGTGTCTTCTTTCTAGTTTTTTAATTTAGTATCTTAAAGTGTTCCTTGTACTGTGTTTCACCTGTTTGGTTAGGTTTTATTCCTAGGTGTTTTCTTTTTGTTTTAATAAGGTTTTCTTTAGTTTATTGGGGGTGGGTGGGGTGCATGCTTGTTATCAGTGCATAAACATGCTAGTGACTTTTTATGTTGTTTTTTCTACCCTTCTGCTTTGTTGGAGTTTGTTATCTCTGATTTCTTGAGTCAACAAGGTTGTTTAAGTCTAATGTCACACCATTTACAAATGGAGATGTGTCTTCCTTCCTATTTGAATTCCTTTAGTTTCTTTCTCATGCCTTCTTGCTTTATCTAAGATTTATAGCTATGGATATCTAGCAATATGTTGAATGAGTAGAGATAGTGAATACTCTTATGCTATTCTAAAGTTTCTGTGGCTAGCATAGTGTTGGCTGCAAGTTCTCCATAGATAGCTCTTACTATGTCTGAATGTGCTCCTCCTATCCCTAGTCTCTTCAGGGATTTTCTTATGAAAGAATATTTAACTGGTCAAAGCCTTCTCTACTCAGTTCAAAATGATCATGCTGTTTTTTTCCTTATTCTATTTATATGTATTCAATTTATATGCATATTCAATTACATTTATTGATTTGTGTCTATAGAATAAACCTTGCATTCTGCAGTGAAATCAATTTGGTCACGTTGTATGATCTTCTTAAGGTATTTTTGAATATAGTTTGCAAGACTTTGAGAAGTTTTGTGTTTATGTTCCTTGGGGAAATCTGTAGGTTTGGTTTTGTTGTTGTTGTTGTGTCCTTATCCTACTTTGGTATCAGGGCAATGTGGGCTTTAGAGAGAGAATTAACTAATAATAGCCCTTCTATTTCTACTTTATAGGACAGTTTGGGGAGCATTAAAAGTTGTTCTTCTTTAAAGGTTTGGTAGAAATCATCTGGACCTGAACTTGTATTTTTTGAGAGGTTTTTGTATTACACTTCAATCTTACTAACTTTGGGGTTCATCTAAGTTGTTTATATTTTCTTGATTGGATTTTGTAGTTAATACTTATCTAGGAAGTTATTCATTTCTTCTAGATTTTCCACTTTTTGAAATATAACATTTAAAAGAACTCATTGATGCTTCTCTGTACTTGAGTGGATCTGTAATAAAGCCCCTTTTTTGTCTCTTTCTAGATCTCTCCATTTTATTTATCTTGGCAAGATGTTTCCCATCTTATTTTATCAGAGAATTGAGCCTTTGTTGAATTGATTCTATATATTTTAGTCTCCAGTTTAATGAATGTATCCTGATCCTTATTATTTCTTATTATCATTAAGATTGTGCTGGTGCCCAACTCTAAGTTATTTTCTTGAGAATTCTTAGATATTTCTTTTTCTCCTTTCCCCAGATACTTGTGATGCAACCATTCATGGCTGTAAAGTTTACTTCTACACCTGTCCTAACAATATCTTAAAGGTGTTGGTATATCATTGTGGTTTTATCTTCATTTGTTTCCAGGATCTGTTCAAATTTCCTGTTTGGTTGATTCAATGACTTATTACCATTCAAGGGTGTATTGTTTGGTCTCAATGAATTTGTGTAGTTACCATTTTTTCTTATTATGGTTTTCTAGTCTGATGGAACCATGATCTGATAAAATACAGAGAGTTGCTTTTTTGTATTTGGTAAGTCTTTATTTGTGACCTGGAATGTGGTCTATTTAAATATGTTTACATGGGCTACTGAGAATATCATGCTCTATATCTGTCAAATGGAATATTGTGTATCTGTCTGTTGCACATTTGTTTGTTTTGAGGATGCAGTGCTGATTTTCAGTTTGAATGATGAATCTGAAATTGATACTTGAGTCCTGAAATTACCTATATCATCATCAGACTGACTTTTGAACTCAATTAGTGATTGTTCCATAAAATTTGTGACTGAGTATTTAGTACATGTGTATTTGTTACTAGCATACATTCTTGCTGAATCATCCCCTTCTTAAATATGCAATGTATTTAAGAAATTTATTCTTACTAATTTTTGCTCTATATATACCCTATCTAATACCAGGATTGTTATGTAAGGTTTTTTTCAGTTTCTGCTTGCTTAGTAGATTGTTATCTAATCATTTGACTCTTACTCACACACCTTTACTAGTAAGGCATGTTTCCTGGAGATAATGTATCACGGGATCTAGTCTTTCAGTTGAGTGAATCTTCAAAAACAGAAACATGGGAAGAAAAGAAGCTAAAACAATTTTGACATAGTTGAGAAGTATTTTTAAATTTCAATCGTATGAATAATTCAGACAGTTTGTGTCTATGTGTGATTTCTTGGAATTATGTTCCTATTTTTCCCCATCTTTTTATGTTAGGATTTCCAATTTTGTTTGAGTCAGTCCACTGTAATAAAAATATTTTGAATTTTTATTGGAGTTTTAAAAACATGTATATCTGAGGAGTATCAAAGGAACCTGTTTATGCATTTCTGAAAATCCCTGTGTATTTTCCTGGGGTCTTTACCTGAAAAGATTCAAGCTAGGTGGTTATTAAGTTCTGAAGTAAATAGCCCTAATTTCTTTTACATGTTTTCCGGTGTCATGTTTGCATCTTATCTTACCTGAATTGAAGATTACCAAAGAAGGATTCATCATAGAAATACAGGACAACATGTTTCTTCCCGAAGAGGTAGTGAGGAATTTCTACAGCCATTTAGCAGATCAGGTAAGAAGGCTTTTAAAAATCCACTGTGTCCTCATTTATATATTTACACACATATATTTTCAATTACAGTGATTGTGGTAAGTTTAGATTTTCATTATAGAATATAAAATTAAGAAATCTAACCAACTAAATAAACTTTTGGTGACTTGATGATGTACACACCCTGATGATGTCAAAGATGGTGGCTCTGGGATCACCTCCAGTATAAACTATAGCACCCAGTAAAAACTGAATTATTTGTTTTGTTGAAGACTTCTTTTTGCTATGTTCTCTGGAAGTGAATAGCCAGTTCTCTCCTATCAAGTTTCAGACTTGGCTAAAAGTATTCCTTTCTATCTGGTACACAGGGATGCTGTAACCCACTCTTTGTCTGTGTCCTTTCTCTAAGGCTATACCCCAGCAGGTTGACTTCTTCCTGGAAGAATGGGGTAAAGGCAGTGTGTCAAAAATATTTTAAAGGGGAATGGTTATGAATTTGAAAGGGAGACCTATCTTTTAAAGACAATCTGCCAGTGTGATAGACAGTAAATACATGTGACCAGTTGGATTTAAATTCATTCAAACTGAATAACATTTATAAAGTGGAGTCTTATTTACACTATCAATACTTTAGTTGCTCAGTAGACATATCCAGGAATATTGTTAGGGAGTTCCCAGTGTGTTACTCATAGAAAAAGTTCTGCTGGTCAGTACTTGTAACATCCCAGTTATCTCTCTTGCTCCCAGTTTCCACATATTAAAAAAAATAAGAAAAAACATCTTAGGAATGTCATTTAGAAGCTGTTATGTCAGTGTGATGAATGTACCTGAAAAATCCAACTAAAGAGGAAGAAAGATTTGTTTTGGCTCATGACTTCAGACATTTCATCCCATAGTGGCCTGAACTCACAACTTTCGTGTCTGTGGTGAGGCTGAACATCATGTTCAGGAGATCATGGTAAACTAAAGCTGCTCACTTCATGAAGCCGTGAAGCAGAGTGATTGAGTGGAAGCATCAGAATCCTAGTAACTGCTTCAAGAAAATACCCAGTTATTGAACAGTCTTCCATTTCAGAGTTTCATTTGCTTTCAGTAGCAATCATGTGCTGGTGACCAAGCCTTTATTAGCACATGGCCAGTGTGTGTGTGTGTGGGCATTTTGATTCCAACTGTGACAGATACTGACTTAGAACTCTGGGATAGAGCACCAAAGATCTCCCCCACTTCTCCCCTCTCTCTCTGTCTCTCTGTCTCTCTGTCTCTCTGTCTGTCTGTCTCTCTCTCTCTCTCGTCTGTGTTAGTTCTTTGAAGATTCTGTAAAATACATTTATTCATTTCCCTCTTTTCTCCCAACTCCTTCTAGATTTGCCTCCTCTTCCCTACTCACACAACTTAGTGACCTTATTAAAAAGACAAAGCAAAACAAAATAAAAATGCCATCAAGTTTCTTAGTGACACCATGTGTAAGACCAGTTCAAGCTGAAGCCAAACGAAGTTCCAGCATGGAAAGGGGAGGTGTATACGAAGTCACACACTTAGCTAAGGAGCTATTAGCAATGATAGCTGCTGAAAGATAATTTATTTTCTACAAGTTTTGGGCCCCTGAACCATGCTTCAGTTAAAGACCTCACATCCAAAAGTACACAGGCAGCTGAAGGCATTTTAACCAGCCCTTCAGATGAATTGCCCACATCCTGGTGTTGGAAAGTAGTTGTGTGCACAATCTTTAAAATCATTTTCTACTGGGTGTAGATGTTGATTGTGTAAAAATATTCCTGCAAACAGAAAGCTTACAAGGGTAACATAGCATTGTTAATAACATTAAAGGGAAGATGTCACTGTTTTTTCACAGTGACCACCATTTTAATGCCCCTGTGTTGGGATAGCGAGGGAGACAGTTTCTCATCTTTTGTAGCCCGACTTTGAAGACTTTGTATCATTTGTCACAAGCGGCATAAGCTGTGTGCTCATTATATCACAAGAAGGAGAGCATGAGGTTATCCAGGAAGAACTTCAACTTCAGTCTGAAACAGATGAGGAGGAACCATCTGAAGACACAGGTGCTAAGTTTGCACCTGTGATGACAAAGAAGAAACGGGACAGGTAACTAAGGCCAGAACTTTATAACTCATAAAGTGTAACTTGGTGACAGAACATAATGCACAAATGTCTAAAAACCTAATATTTTCATATAGATGCTACAAGTTTTCTTTTTAAGTCAACCTAGAATATTATGTGTTCAGAAAATGGGGGACTTACCTGAATGTTTATGTCAGGAAAATTGGAAAGGGACTAGCTTTCCCTGCTGTCCTCTCTAAGTCTGGCATACCATCTGACCTTATTGTCTCAGGCCTAGAGGGTATATTGAAAGCATGCACTGTCTCAGTCAACCCTGTCCATATTCCAACATTTTCTTCAATTTTCTAGGCTCCCTGTCTTACTTAAGACAGTTACTGGTATAAAATAGATGATGACACAATAAATATATACTTTGGTAATAAAATTCTAAATATTTCAAAATGAGCAAGCAATTATCAGAATGTTGGTTTTATGTGTTGCTGTCCATGACACTTATTCTGCTAAAGACTAAAAATCTAGTTTGATACAATAGTTTTACAAGATGTGTCAGAATGAGTTTGGTGAGTTGTTATGGGATTCACCACTTTAACACCCAAAATAACACAAAGAGACTCTATTAATTACAAGGCTGTTGGTCAATATCCGAGGCTTCTCATTGGCTAGTTCTGTCTTAAGTATTACCCATAACTACTTATATATCTTACCAAGGACGCCAGCCTCATGAGTCCTTACTTCCTAGGATCACATGGCAACTCTCCACTCTTGACTACATTTCCCAGAATTCTACTCAACTCCTAGTCCCACCTACCCTGCTTCCTTATTGGCCAATAGTGCTTTACTTATCAACCAATAAGACAAACATATACACAGAAGGACTTCCCCCATCAGTGAGTAAAAGGCATTGAGGCTAGGTCCACTGCTGCTCTGTGTTCCAATGCTATTGTGTTGTCTATTGGGGGATTGCAGGACGTTTCCTCCTTGCTTTATAAACTGTGAGTTTTTCTTGTGGTTTCTGGTCATTTCATATTTCTCAGGTAGCAGGTAATTCTAGAATTTACTTTGCTTTTGTATTGCCGGTCCTAGAACCTAGAGCCTTCTGCATGCTGCCCAAGTGCTGTACCCTTGAACAAGTTTTTGATGACATTTAAAATTTTAAGAAGGTTAGAACAACACAAAATGGAATTAAATGGCTGCTAAAGGGCTTGGAAATAGTAGGAGTTACTTTCAGAGTGATAATATGTGGGCAGAAAGAAGTTTTTATTGTGTTATTAAGCTCTAGTTCATTAACATGTAAGTTTTCATACAAGTTTTTACTTTAAATTACCATAACTTCAGGTTACATTTTGTATCTTAACAGTTTGCAAGAATATTTGGAACGACAACATGTATCGGAGTTTTGTGATGTTGAGGATAATGCGTCTAAGGTTTCTATGTACATTGACATGTTATTCCCTGATTTCAAAACCATGAAAATCAAGAATATACAAAGGACCCTGGCATTGCTGTTTCCAGAAGTCTATGAGGAAAAGAAAGGTAGGAAGGGAAGCACAAAGTAAGAACTTGGTGGGTAGGATTTGAAGGCTGAGTTATCACTTTCTCGATAATAATGGATAAAACAACTTTAGCAGAAGAACTTATAAAGCATTTTCTAATCTGTGACTTTGTTAGAGTCTGTCTCACCATTGTCAGTACACAGAAAAGGACACAAGGAGCCAGAACAACTACCTCATGTTTGCACTGCCTCAGCTCAGAGCTCTGGCAGAGGCTGATAAATCATGTCACCTGAGATTACACCAGGTCTATTTCATTTGTAAAAAAAAAATCAGAAGATTAAGATGAGAAAGCATACGTAGAGTGCCTGGCACTCAAGTGTTAGTTTTCACCTGCTTGCTTGTTTTTCAGTACTGGGGATGGTGCACAAGCTCTCTAACACTGAGCTACAGCCCCATCATTAAGTGCTGAACATTTTAAATCTCATTCCATAGTTACACAGCAAAGCAAGTACCCCAACATGAGACTAAAGGTTCTAGATAATACCATTCATTCATTCATTCATTCACTCATTCCTTCATTTATGCCTGGTGTCTTGAAACACCATTGGCATTTGTATAGGAGTTTTGACACAGTACAGGGATATCATCATAAAATACTGTATTGTAACCCTAGCTCTACTTACACTTTGGCCAGGTAAGTTTTTTGAGGGTATAGGTGCATAGCTGATCACATGCTACATTGTCAAATGTTTATTATCACTTTTGGCCTCTAGGTATCAGGAGCATCTTTCCCAAGTTAAAGTGTAACAGAATGAATGTCTTTAAACATTGATTGTCAAATGCCCTGAACAGGACTGAGAATCATTGAGGTCATCTGCCTTGGGGGTACATGCAAATTCTCCCTTTCCATCCCTGTGTCTTGGTTTCTTTTGCTTTTTCTCCTGGAACAAGATGAAGTGTCTGTGTGATGCTGATTAGGAGCTGATGTTGAACAGGAGTAGTGAGACACCATATCTTAAAGCAAAAGGTTCAAATTTTGTAACATCTGGTGCACTATTAGCTATTGATTAAGGAAATTTCCACATTTTAAGTGGCTTAAGGTGAATTTTCTTTTTTATTGCTAATGCTTTCATTTTTGTTTTATTTTGCACTGCTGGGGATTGAGTGGATAGTATGACTTATTTTAAATGAATGCTGTTGTGTTGTAAAATTTTATTATCTGTCTACTGTAGATATTTATTTCTCTATACTTGATAACATGGTAGATTACATTAATTTTTGAAGATTGAACCAGCCTTGCATAGCTTGCTTGCTTCTTGTGTGTTCTTAAGCACTTTTGTGTTTGTATACATGGGAGATATTTGTGGTTTCTTTTATGATAATTTGGTTTGGGTGTCAAAATAATGTGAAACTTACATAAAGAGGGAAAAGAAAGTCTTTCCTCCTGTGTTTTCTGGAAGAGTAGAATGCTATTCACTTCAAATGGTTCCTAAATATTTTATGGGATTTGTTAGAGAAGTTATCTGGGTCTGGAACTTCCTGTTTGGGAGGGGTTTTTTTTGCATTTTGTCCTTTTGGAATTTTTATCATGAACATGTTGTTTTTAAATGAATAGACTGTATGCTTTAAAACATTTTTGTCAAACAAGTAACCTACTTACCCCATAGCTCCCATGCGCAGAGTTGTGCTTCTGTCCTGATTTTCTTGTTGAAACCATCTTGTATTATTATAATATATTATAATTAATGCCATAATACTATTACTCTACCTAAACTAAAGTTCATAGTATGTATGCAGGTCCACTCTTGGTTTTGAACAATCTAGGTGTGGAGAGAAACACATGATGTCATTTATCCTATTGCAGATTAGATCAGCATGGAGTCTCAGACCCGAATGTCCCTGTGCTTCTCTTTCTTGTGCATAGCCTACCAGATCTGAGCTCTTTGTTGTTTTTTAGTTTGTTTTTCCAGAATGATGCCATTGAAATTGCGTGGCATACAACCCTTTCAGATTGACTTCTACCACATACTAATGTCGACTAGGATTCCCCATGTCTTTGAAGTGTCATAGTTAATTACTTAATAATTATTGATGAACAACATTCAGTTGTAAGAATGCAGTGGAGTTCATCAGGTGATTTATTAAAGGACATTTTGCCCAGTTTCAGTTCTTTCACTTTCAAGAATGTACTGTCACAAACAGAGGTTCCTGAGCTGACATAAGCTTTAGGTCTAACTAGGTAAATATCTGGGACCATGAGTCCCGAAACATGTAGAAAGTTGTATTTTAACTGTGTAAGAAACTGCCAGAGTGCATTTCAATGTAGTTATACTATTTTCCATTCCACTATCATCGAATTAGAGTTCTTCTTAGCCTGCATCTTGTCAGCCTTTGTACTGTCAGTTTTGTCTGAACTAGTACATACACAATGATAGCTTATTGCTGTTCTTATTTGAGAGTTTCCAGTAAAGTGTATGTAGCTTGGCATTTTTTTACATGCATACTAGTGATGCCTATATCTTCCTTTATGGTGTGTCTCCTTAGATCTTTTGATATTAGCTTCCAGAGTGGATATCAAATGAACCAGACCACAACGAGATGCTTAATATTTCAAATAATAAAAAATGCTCTAATCTGATCATTTGATGAGATCTTTAGTTTGTATCTCATATTTTTGTTTTCTTAGTACTAAACTTTCTGATTTCCTTGTATATTTAGAGCCTAAGTCCTTTTCACATATGTGACTTTATAAATATTTTCTCAGAGGTTTTATTAATGTATTTTATAGAAAAATACTTAAACATGGTCCAATTTAAATTAAGTATTACCAACATCTACATTATTATAAAACAATTATAGATAAAGCTGATGAATGTGTATCATATTTGTAATTGGTTTTTATTCTTTGCAATTTTTCTTGGCTTCATTCCTTTTTATGTCCCTTTTTATGTCTTCTTTCACTTTAAATAAGCATTAAAAGATTTTTCCTTAGTGTATTGTAAGAAACTAATTTATTTTTGTCACCTCAAAAGTCTAAGTGCATGCAGTGACAGAGCCTTTAAGAGAGCTGTTGGTGTTAAGTGAGCTCATAAAGGTGAGTCTATACAGGGACTGATGCCAGGATTCTCCAGAAAACATGATGATATGATGGGACAGGTCAAGTCGTTCCTCTCCCAAGACAGACCAAGTGAGACCGTGCAAGTTTACAGTAAAAGTATATACATCCCTAAGCTACAAGGGGAGAGCTCAGTGGGAACCTCACTTTCTGGCATTCTGATCTTTCTTACACTTCTTTAAGAACTGCTAGAACTATGAGAAAGTACATTTCTGCTGTTAAATCCACCGAATCTCTGATATTTTCTCACAGCAACTCAAGCTGTGAGAAATTTCAGCATATACTGAAGACTAGATGAGACATCCAGCCTCCTGGAGTGAACAAATACCTGGATTCTTAGACTTTTGAGCTGTAGACAGCAATTTTTTCACTAGCTGGACCACAGCCTGTGAACTACTCTAATAAATCATACACAAGTAATGTGTATAACAAGTGATGCGGACATAAACAATGTGGGTAACAAGCAATGCAGATAGCACGTGCTGCAGTTAACAAGCACTCACTGTGGATATAACAAGTACTGCAGGGACAAGCAATACGGATGACAAGCAATGAGAAAAACAAGCTATGCAGACTCCGTGTACTGCGGGTAACAAGCACTCACTGTAGATACCAAGCAATACAGATAACAAGCAATGCAGACAACAAGTACTCACTGCAGATAATAAGCTATGTAGACAGCAAGCACTCACTGTGGATACCAAGTCGTGTGGATAACAAGCAATCGGGGTAACAAGCACAGTGGACAACAGGTACTGTAAATAACAAGTACAGCAGATAGTAAGTACTGTTCATAACAAGTACTGCGGATAACAAGCACCATGGAGAAGAACCACTACGAGTAACAGGGCATCTCGGATAACAAGTAACATGGATAACAACCACTGTGGATAAGAAGTACCGTGGATAACAAGCACTATTAATAACAAGTACTGCAGATAACAAGCACCACAGATGACAAGTACTGTGGATAATGTTATTGCAAATAACAAGAACTGCAGACAACATGTACCGAAGTCAACAAGAACTGTAGATAACTAGAACCGCAGATAATGAGTAGCGTTCATCACAAGTACTGCAGACAACATTACTATGGATAACAAGCACTGTGGATAACAAATACTGTGGGTAACAAACACTGTGTATAACAAGAACTGTTGATAACATTACTGAGCATAATAAGCACTGCAGATAACAAGTACCATGTATAACAAGTAGTGCAGAACTGTGGATTATGTTAGTGAGGCAAGCAAGTTAATTTTATCTTGTGCTTTTCTTCTTTTGTTTCTTGAGGATATACATACCATCATTGTCAGATTTTTTGATAGAAAGTAAACTTTATTAGTGTTCACAACTGCTGTTAAGCACTGTCATAATGATACCAAGTGTCATACCAAGTGTGCAATGCAAGGGAAGGGAGGAGATTAGTATGATGCTTCTTAGATGTGCATTTAAATTCTAAGTCAGTACAAAGGGCAAGTTCCAGCCAGCCAAATCCTGAGAAGGAATACAGGAACACCACCATCCTGAAGACGATGCCTCCAACTACTGAACAGTACTCAGAAGCCACCTAGCTCATCATCACATCTGGAGCTTTTACAGTCATTATTCTTTGTTTGTGTGCCCGTTGACCAAGCTCTTCCCTCTAGACCTTTGAAATCTTTCTGGTCTTTCATGAGTTAAATTTATCCTTGTTGACACTATTTTGTGCATTCTTTGGAATATTATTACTTGTATACATACACACCATATCTTGATCATATCTACTCTAGATCACCCATGGTCACCCTGTGGTATGTAAAACCACAGTCTAGCAGAGTGTTGGTCTCCTTAAACCTTTGAGAATACGTAGAGTCCTTGCTGCCCCTGCCACCATTCAGTGTGCCCATCAGCAACCATGACTCCTGAATGTCATGATGTAATCAGCAGGAGCTATGAACTGAATGCTTGTGTCCTCCTAAAATCAATGTTGAAATCTAATCACCATTATGATAGTATCAGAGAGCAGGGCCATTTCAAGTTAATTAAAGCATTTCTCATGAAGCTCCCTTATAAAAGAGGACCGAGAGTAGGGTATGGAGGTAAATACCTGCAACCTCAATACTTAGGAGACTGAAGCAGAAACACTGTTTAAGGTCACTTCTTGTACCATATGAGATAAAAAGATAAAATTGCCAACTGTCAAGTAAGAAAAGGGCTCACATGCTCACATGAGACACAGATCTGACAGTGTCTTGGCTGCAAAGGAAATATCTACAACCATTACAAATAAATGCTATTCTTTGTAGAACTGTGAAATTCTGGGATAGCAACCCAAACCAAGTAGGGCAAGGGTGTTTTTTGGAAAGATGAAAGGATGGGTAGGCCAAAGGAAGGAGTCAAGTTTAATATTTCATAATCTTTTAAAAGGAGAGGCGTAGGTCGGACAAGTCCTGGCATGTCACTCTATCCACTGGCAATGTGTGTTATCCCCGCTCTATCCCCAGCTACAGCCACTAAGATTGACTTTGGCAGGTAGAACTACAGTTGCCTAAAGGTGTTGTTCATGCTATGATCCATCCAAATGATGGGTGTGTTGCTTTACATGGTCAGAGAGACTCTGCAGATATGATTAAGTGAAAAACTTGGAGATTCAACCACCCTGGTTTTTCCAAATAACTTGGTCAATCTCATGAGTCCTTAAAGGTGGAGAGGAGAGCAGGACTGTGCACCAGGCAGACAGTATGAAAGAAGTATATGACTCACAATTGCTAGTTATGAAGGTGGGAAGAGAAAGCTGCCAGCCAAAAAATGCAAATACTAGAAGCAAGGGAATGGTCCCAAGTTTGATGACAGCAAGAATATGAGGACTTCATCCCTACAAGCACAAGGATCCATATTTGGCCAATAATCTGGATGATAAGAAAATGACTTCTCTAGAGTCTTCAGCAAGGAGAGCAGCCTGCTGATAACTTGAACTTGGCCTGTCAAGAACCAGATTGGCTTCTAAACTGTATGATTTTAAGTTCTCTGACACTTTAGGTATAAAGTTCTGGTGGTGTGTGTGTTTGGGAGAGGGTGGTGACTGTGTGCATGAGACACTCACTTTGGGCATCTTCCTCTGTCATTCTTCACCTCATTTTTAGTCATCAGATGGATTTTTTCACATAATTTGGAGCTCACAGATTCAGTGAATTGAGATGGCTGGGCACAGACAGGAAGTGAGATGCAGGGCACACAGGAAGTAAGAGGGCTGGACAGAGAGATGATATATGTGGAAAGAAACAGGAACTCACTCTATGGTCTGTTGAGATGATAAGGAGGTAAGGTGTGGCTGTGGCTTGCTCTTTCTTCTCTCTGATCTCTCAGCATTTTCCTCTCTGACTCCTAGTTTTTATTATTTAAACCAATTAACAACTCCCTTTTACATTTTGGCATCCATGTGGTCAGAACATTAATGACAGGACAGGGGCAAAATCCCCATAATGTCCCCAGTTCAGACCTGAGAAAGTTGACTGCTGCCGTGGGCTCACCCAGTAACGGTCCACACCTGACTCCACCTTAACTTCTGCCTATAGTATATCATAAAAGTTTCTATTTTTATACCTTCCATATATTACTTAGGTCAATTAAATAACTCCAAAATCTTCTCAGCTTATTATAAAGTTTACGAGGCAAGTTTGTCCTACTTTGATTCAAAAGAGGAAAATTTACATATTATTTAAAGAATTCCTGATATATTTATGCCATCACAGGCAAAGCATGACATCTATTGGTAGTTCTCTCTGCTACGAATATTCTTGATGAAAATGGATTTTCCCATACAAACTTGAATGTACAACAGGGAGTGAAATAGCTAGAAAAAAAGGACTCAAGTAGTCAGTGTATCTTTACGCATTTTCTCACTTACTCAGAATGTTATGCATGTAGTAATATTTTTTTTCAGAAATATTACATAACATTAGAAAATTCTATCTAGATTTAATAAAGTAAAAAATGTGACAATTCAAACTGACATGTGCTAGAAATGATTAGAGGGCATAGGTGTATTGTGTATATGTGTGTGTGTGATATTATTATCTGGGTATACAGAAATAACACTCCTACTTACATTGTTTCTGGAGACTGACAATGAAATTTTTATATGAAGAATAAACTTTCATAACTATGTAGATAAAAATAATCTTTCTGCAATGATATGACTTATAGGTAAAATTACAGAGTGAACTAATTACATTTTTCTTTTCAAAACCTTTGAGTAAAGTGAAAACTTTATTTGCAAAATAGGACATATGTGTGACATGTACTTGAGTGATAAGATGAAGGAAGGATATAAGAGTGATTATCTTAGGAACACAAAGGAACCAACCCAGAAGAAGTACTGATTCAGAAACAGAGTTCCAGTGGTTCACACAAAACACCAGTTAAATGTACATTCTTTGCCCAAGAGCAGAACATTTTAAAATCTCTGTTTATAGCTCATTTTAATTCTATAGTGTATTTATCTAGTAGTAACAGGTATTTTATAATATGAGTCACAATTTTTGTCTAATTATTATAGGCTTGTCATATGAAAACGTATCTCAGAACCATATTCCTACCTTTACCATCAGTAGAATGGTATGTTGGGCTACCAACAGAGATAAATAAGAGAGAGTCCCTCTACAATATCAGCCTTCAATAAGCCATTGATAAATTCCAGTAAAAAGATTTCTTGCAAGGCTGTCTGTATTAGCAAATCTTCCATATGGCTCTTTAATGTACATGAAAGTAGTTGTTGGTAAACTCACATTATTATTTTTCTATATTTTCTTCACTATCATAGTTTTATTTTTCAAGTATTGTCAATATTTACCCATTGTTAACCTAAACAGATTGACATTGACAAACAACATATATTATTTCTTATTTTAAAATCTAGCTCACTTTTCTAATATTTCAAAAAATTACCTTACAAATTATTTCCTAGGTACATCTTTCAGAACCATCTAAGCATTTTTGGTACATGTCATATACCACATATGGGCTCATTTCTATATCGTGCATGGGGAAAAATAGAATTGTCTTACTTTCTGGTCTTCAACAGAGAGAAGCAGGCTAGTGAGAAGGAGATTGAGAAATACTTTTGGATATTCAGTCAACTTATTTCTTTCCAAATAGTCAAGTAAAATAATATCTGCTATTTATAAATATTTATATCAGAATTGGTTAAATTCTTTTCTATTGCTGTAGAGAGGCACTATGACTAAGGCAACACATAAAAGAAAATATTTAATTGGGTGCTTCCTTAGAGTTTCAGAGGACTAGTCCATAACCATCATGCCAATGGGCAGCCAAGTATGGCACTAGAGCAATTGCTAAGAGCTTACATCTGATCTTCAAGTGGCAGGCAGAGAAAGAGAGAACTACTGGCAATGGCATGTGCTTTTACACCTCAAAGCACACAACCAGTGACACATCTCCTCTAATAATGGCACACATCATAATCCTTTACAAAGTCCCACCAACTTAGGACCAAACATGCAAATATATGACCTTATGGGGGCCATTTTCACTCAGCTCACCACATATCTGCATATATACGGTACATGTGCAGCTTACAATTTGTGTGTTTGTGAGTAATTACTATGTGGTAAAAAAATTTGAAGCAACATTATAATTGACAGATTAACAAGTGCCATTCATCTTGAAAGCTGAGAAGCTGTTTTTGTGAACTTTTACAATTCTCAAAATAATTGGACACATATGATACCTCACAAAGCTTCACCATGTATTGTTGGTAGCCAGGAATCTGCAAGTTTGAAATTTACTTTGTCATAACTGTTTTTCTTTAGATGATATTTTGAACATTATTCGGAATGAAGGGTTCACCATACTGATGCAGAGGCAAATAGTATTATCAGAGGAAGAAGCCAGAACAGTGACCAAGGACTATGAGAATGAAGAGTATTTTAATAGTCTTTTATCTTACATGTGCAGGTAAAGCAATGTTCAGAGTTAGAAAGTTCTGTGATCTATTTTCCACGCTTTTCAACTTTTTCTTAAGCTTTCTTTTTATTAGGTTGACAAACTTCTACTAAATTCCACAAAGAAATTACTGGTCTATGTCTTTGTCAGTCTTATTACTGTCCTCATTCTCTGCTCAAATATCTGTTTCCTCTTCATTCCTGGAATACTGTTAGAGCAAATAATAGGTCCTATGGACACAGGCACATACCTGTTTTCAGTTGAGTTGGATGCAGAATTCCAAAGTGGGCAACATCACCAAATCCAAACTGAGAACTGTTTGACCCTTTGGGCAGTCGGATTACTCTTTGGGAGGCCTTTTATGACCTTCAATATCACATATCCTGGAGAAGAAATGAGATGCTAGAAAGTTGCCAGATATCTAGAGAAGTAACTGAAATGCAGCTGAAACAAAAGTCTAATTAACTGGGGTCCTACCATTTCATTTCTGTCTTTCTTCCCAGCTCATATAAGTATGCTACTGAGTGGATGCCAACATATATTAATGTAAGACTCCTTATAGCTCATTTAAAATGCTTCAGTCAATTTAACAACACATATACACTTGTGTTCTCTCTCGGTCATTCTCTACTAATATATTCTTTCATTAACCTTTGGTTTTGCTTTTTATAACAGCAATGCATCTTACATCCTTGTTCTGTTGAGGGAAAATGCTGTGGATTATTGGAAAGAGTTAATGGGACCAACAAATGTTGAGGAAGCTTACGCATATTCTCCAGAGAGGTACTGCTCATACCATGATTCCCTACCCTTTTTCATGCAATGCAATTCAATTTCTTTTTAAGTCTAAGATACAGGAAATACAGTGTTAGTCTGAGAGGGAAAGCTGTTCTGGTAGAGTAACTGTTTTTTTTTGTGGAGATCTGGTTTATTATAAGCTCGAAGATGACTATAGTTTTTTAAGAAAAGGTGGTATGCTTGGCTTCGGCCTGGAAACTAAGAACCCAACTAATGGTTTGGTAGAGATATACTGAAAGAAATCTCTACCTAAACCACAGTTTATGACAAATTGCCTCCATTAAAGCTGTGATCAAAGCTTCGATGCCTTTAATTGATTATAAGAGCTTTGAAAAACTTATGAGAAAAATCAAGATTAACCTTAACACCACTATATAGAGAACTTTAATTTTACCAAGTGAGGTCATGTAGCTAGCCATGATTCTAGTCCAAGCCTTTTCACTGCATGGGTCCCTTTTCTTCTAGTTGTCTTTTGTAATATTTGTTAACAATGGGATTTAAATGTTCACATATTTCCTTTCTAATGTCTGCTACCCCACTGAAAGGACATAGTATATCCAAGTCACTGGCTAATTACTTCTTTTTCCACAGCATCTAGATATGGAATGAGTACTGTTGCATGATTTTTTAGTAAATTAATAAGTAGTGTTATATTACATTAGATTGTTATATTACATTTGATTTCTGACTTGGCCTCTCTCTTCAAAGTTTATGTGCACAGTTTTTCACAGGAACTTTTCCTATTAACCAGTTCTATGGAAGCAGTTCAAAAGCAGAAGCTAAGAAGGAAATAGAATATTTCTTCCCTCCTCAGACAACGCTGGCATTGATCAAACCTCATGTGACTAAGGAACAAAGAAGTAAGCATATACTATATCATCAAGTCCTGACATTTATCCTCTTCAAATGCTGACATTACTCAAGTATTTACTTTTTTATTATATATATATGTATATATATGTGTATATATATATTATTTTTAATTTTAAATTAGAAACAAGGTTGCTTCACACATCAATTCCAGGTCCGTCTCTGTTTCCCTCCCCCTCCTCCTGTGCCCTCCCACCAACCCCCCCCCAATATCCCTTCATTTCCCCAGGGAGGGTGAGGCTCTCCATGGGGGTGTCCATAGTCTGTCTAGGGACTAGACCATCCCCCCAAGAGTTCAGGGTGAGAGTGCATCTCTCATTGTTGGTTGGGAGTCCAAAGTCCATTTGTATACCCAGGATGAATACTGATCTACTACTCAAGGGTCAATAGTACTTACTTTTATCAACATGGGCTTAAGTGAAGTGTTCATTCATATTTTCTTTAAATTCATTGAGTTATTTGATAAAGTTTATGAATGTTCTTTTAAATTCTGCCTCTTGGGTTATTCTGCGGGATTAGTGGGTTTGATGGGGGACATACTGTTTTGGTCATTCATGTTGTTTTTGTTTTTGTGATTTAACCCAGGTATGTGGAAGTTTTTGGTTGTATGTATGATATTACAGTCTAGTTTTCCTTATGTTGGGCCAGTGGAGGAGATGTGTGACCTGAGTTAGGTCAGGTAAAGCTGGTTGATGAACTGTTTAACTGTTTAACCAAGGAAGCTGGCTCCCAAACCATTGGTGTAGAGCTAATCCAGACAAAGGTGTTTCATATATACAAAGGGTTCAAAGACACAGATTTGGAACTAGAATTGTTGGTTAGCAGATGGCAGAGGGTTTTAGTGAGGAGTGCTAATGGGAAGAAGTGATTTTTCCCAGTAAAGGCGGCCCTGGCACAAAGAGGGCTCAAGAACCTAACAAGGAAGGGTGGTTCTTGGGCTGTGGGTCTAGAACTAGGCCAAGAAAGATAAACAAAGAGTCACTTTTCTTGATTAATTATTGAGATAAATGTGTCTTTGTCACTGTAGATGTTGTCATGCCTTGGCAGATGGTTCTGGGTTGTATAAGAAAGCAGGATCAGTCAGCCATAAGGAGCAAGTGAGTCAACACTGTTCTAGGGCTTCTACTTCAGCTCCTGACTCTTGAGTCCCTTCCCTAACTTCCTGTAACAATGGACTATAATGCAGAAGTATATGATGAACTAAATCTTCTCATCGTCAAATCATTTTCAATCATTCCATTTTTATAACAGCAAAAATCAATCCTAACTAAGACAAAACTGGTACCAGAGAATGGACTATTGTTTGACAGAACTGACCATATTTGGGGGAGGACTTAGTGCTTTGGGCTGGAGAAACTATCAAGGGCTCAGGGTTTAATGATCTATTTTTTAGCACCTTGGAAGATAAGAATGTTGAGAGCAATGTAGATGATGGAGGTCTGGCCTGTGACATGTCAGAAGGAAACAGACCCTGCTGTGGCTATTTGTATGATATTTTTTGTTAACACAAAATGCCTGGTCAACTATTGCTGAAGAATCATCTGCAATTGACTAGAGACAAATACCACCAAAGGAAAACTTTTGCTTTATTGGGACAGCTAATGCTGGTTAACTGGTGTTAAGAAATTAGCAGTGATTAAGAAGAGAACATATCTCTGAGGTGAAATCTTCTGAGAGATGTTTTCTCAGGACCAGCACACAGAAGCCATGGTCCAGAGGTAGCCAAGGCCGTAGCTTGCATCAGCAGCTGAACTTGGTAATGTGTAATATGTAGAGTCTCTCAGGTGTTACTGGTTTTGAAGAGTAGTTGAGGCTTGATATAGTGAGAGTCTGCTGGTCAAAGTGAAGCTTCAGTTACAGTAGAAGCCTGATGATGGAGGGTCATTAAGAGAAGTTGAGGTTTGGCAGCATGTGGCAAGGTCAGAGACCCTGAAAGAGCCCAAGAAGCTATTGGTAAAGATGAGGCTCAATTGCATCAGAGACCCCAGCATTCTGGAGATGTCAGTATCATGGGACAACCACTGAGGAAAGCAGTATGTGTGGAGTGGACTGGGTCTGAGCCTATGAGACAAGCTGGCTTGTGCTACAAACAGCAAATTTGAAGGCATGGGTCTCTTTAGAGTCCAGAGGATTGTGAATAGGTCTTAGACATCAAACACTTGGGACTTTTACTCCATGAAACTTTGTTTTGCTTTGATTTGACTGTGACTGTGAACTCATTCTCCCCTCTTGGAGTAAGGAAGTATTTACCTCATTTTTTTATTTTGACAGGTGCTCACAGTTGACTTTGAACTTTTAAAGAGACTTTGGACTTTAGAGAGACTTTAAAGTTTTAGAGAGAACAGATATTTTAGAGAGCCTTGAAGTTTGAGGCTTTGGATGCTTTGTAAAGACTGGGTTTTGTGAAGACTGGGAGATTTAAAAGTTGGGATATCTGAAATTGTGATACTAATGTTAACATGACATCTAGAGGACAGAGGGAACCAGTAAGGTTGTATTGGATAGTGATGTGTTTGTGGGTCAATTAGTAAATGGATAATTGTACTGCTGTGTATTGTCAACTTGACACAAGTTAGATTCATTTAAGAAGAAAGAACCTCAATGGAGAAAAATACTCTCAATGGATTGGACTGCCAGCAAGTCTATAGGACATTTTTAAATTGATGATTGATGACTGATAACTGAAGTAAGAGGGACTAACTCATTGTGGGCAGTGCCACTCTTGGGAAGATGGTCCTAAGTTTTTTAAATTAATTTTTATTTAAATTAAAAACAATATTATTTTGCACACCAATCCTAGTTCTCATTCCCTTCCATCCTCCCATTCCCACCATCTCCCCATCCCATCCTCAGAGAGGATGAGGTCTCCCATGAGAGATCATCAAAGTCTGTCTCATTATTTGGGGCAGGACCTAGGCCCTCCCTCATGTATCTAGGGTGGGAGAGTATCCCTCCATAGGGAATGGGCTCCCAAAGTCCATTCTTGCACTACAGATAAATACTGGTTCCACTGCCGGAGCCCCATATATGAATGTGTTCTTATACTGTTATCTACCCATTTCTTCCTCCAGTGGTTGCAGGTGGGGCCTCTCCCAGTGTGGGTGGGGCCAATTCTCTGATGTTGGCAGATGCAGCCCTGGATAGTTTGGGGCTGCCCCCTGGTCTCTCTCCCTGTTGGGGTGAAGCCAAGGCTCAGATTGGTCCTAAATTTTGTAAGAACTATAACCAGACTGAGCAAGCCATGGAGAGCAGACTAGTAAGAAGCACATCTTCACTATTTTTGCTTCAATTTCTGCCTATTGAATTCCTGCTCTAACTTCCTTCAATGATGGACTGTGATGTAGAAGTATAAGATAAAATAACCCCAATCTTCCTCAAGTTGTTTTCAATCATAGTGTTTGATTATAAAAGTAGAAACACCATCTAAGACACATTGCTTTGTGACAACACTTTGCTCAGTCCATGTCTAGCACAAAAGCCAATATTTCTAAAAATAAGAATCCCTGAGGGTCCAGAGATAATTGTTTCCTTTACTGTGGTTTAAGAACCATACACATTGTTTTTATAATATCATTTTCTTATGATGAATTTATAGGACTGGCCCATTTCTGTTGTATGCTTTGTACTCTCACATTTGTCTCTAGAGGGTCTCCTGGGATAGATCCTAGCTATCTCCTTTGCAGCAGGAAAGGCCCAGACTTTTTCAGGTTTTCCATTCATTAGGTCTCACTCACCTTTTCTCCCAGTCTAGCACCTCTGAGTGTTTTTATTTGGAGTGAAACAAATAATTTCTTTCCTATATACTTTGCCTGCTCTGGTATCAAGTGAGTTTCCTTCAGCAGTGTCTTTCTCCTTTCCTCTTCCCTCTTCTCCTGCATCTTGTCTTTATCCACTCTTCTTCTTCCTTTACTAGAAATTTCCAAGTCTTTAAGCTAGGTCCCCTTGGTCTGGAGTATGCAGACTTCAGCGAGCAGGCTAGTGGTGACATTTTTACTGGGTTCACTCTAATGAGGCACTCAGTGGCATCTTTCCACTTCAGAAAAGAATGCTCACCTTGGTTTTTCCCCAGGGCACATCATACAAGGCATTCTTGGGCATTTGGTGACTAAAGATGAAAATACATCTTCATGTTTAGCATGCCAGCATATGTCCTTTTCCCTTTGACACACCATCAGTTGATCAAAGTGGGGCATTCATATTAAAACTTTGAAGGTCTTCTGACTATTAATCTGGTGGGTTTATTTACACATTTTTTCATATAGATATACCACAAGATGCAAGTTGAACTATTATTTTCCTCTATTATTTTGATCTTGAATATGGAGGGAATGATCTTCAATGTTACCTAATGTTTTTTTCCTTAGTGGAAATCCTGAAAATCATTAAAGAGGCAGGATTTGAGATAAGCCTGCTGAAGGAAATACACCTGATTCCCGAGAATGCAAGCAAAGTTTATTTCAAAATAACAGGAAAAGACTTCTATAAAAGTGTCTTGGAAGTCTTATCTTCGTAAGTTTCTGAAATATGTTTGTTTGTATTGTAGATGTAGAAATTGTACACTATAGAAACTGTGGGAAACAGAAATTATTTTTTAACAACTTTTTAATCTGACTCATGAAAAGGCACCTTGTTAACTTTAAAGGTTTATCTATTTTTTCTTTTTTATTATTTTAATTTTAAATAGCTTGTTTTACATGTCAATCCCAGTTCCCTCTCCCTCTCCTCCTCCTTCACCCCCAACCATCCCCCCATCCTCCAATTCATTCCACATAGGGGATATCTAGAGTCTGTCATTTCACTCAGGGTAGGGTCCAGGCACTCCCCTAAGAGTCCAGGCTGAGAGAGCATCCCTCTTTGTGTTATGGAAACACGATGTCTGTTTGTATTCCAGGGATAAACACTGATCCACTGCTCAGGGCCCCATAGGTTGCCTAGGCCTCCTCACTGACTCTCACATTCAGGGGGTCTGGATCAGTCCCATGCTGGCCTCCCAGCTGTCGGTCTGGGATCCAAGAGCTCTCCTCTGTTTGAATCAGCTGCCTCTGCTGTTTTTGCCAGCCCATTCTTTGCCAATTTGCTCATCGCTCCTCTTTCTCTGTCTCTGGGTTCCTTGGGTTCAGTCCAGTGTTTAACTGTGGGTGTTTGTCTCTGCTTCCATCAGTCACTGGATGAAAGTTTATCTATTTTTACAATTTCTTCCCTCCTTTCCTTCCTCCTTCTATTTATTTAGTTCTTCACACTACATGTAGAGGCTGTCAGGGTTTAAGATTCTTGCTTAGCCAATGCAGAATTAATGCTTAAATCTCCTTTCCTGTATAATGGAGAGGAAACTGTGAAATCTACTTCACAGGACGGGATGATGACTGAGAACCTGAACCATAAACACTAAGAAAGTGAGGTTCCAGGTGCATCTGTTGTAGGTGACATTTCTTGGGGAGAGTTTATGATTCAGGCTTTGTATTTAGAGGATTGTGTGGTGGTGAGGAAGGAAAGAGAGGCAGGAGGGTCAGGATGAGGGTGCTCTACAGATGACCAAAATTTCTGCTGACCAATTAGACTGACCATCCAAATGGTTCTGCATTTGGCTGAGGTAAGACATTTTTGCCTCAGGTACCAGGCAATCACTGGATAGAGCACACCTAGGGAATGAGGGTGGAGTATGCTTTCTGCAGTGGAGGCAACGCCTAAAGGACTAAAGGCTGAAGAGTGAACTTGAAACAAAAGTCCTGGGTACATGACAATGTTTGTGGGTCCCAAAATTAGTGAAACTATAACTCTATTCACATTAATTCTTTAGAATTAAACTACAGCACTCAACTAACACAACTTGTTGAAGAAGGAGAAAACAAAGGAAGCACAGGATCATATTGTTAGGAAAAAATGCTCTGGATATGAACCAGAAGCATTGTGTCTTTAGCCCTGTGTGCAATTCATGCCCTTGAAGGAGCCTGCCTTCTAAAAGTATCACTATTTGCAGGGGCATGTCTCTAATCATGGCTCTGACCAAGTGGAATGCTATTGCAGAATGGAGACGAATGATGGGTCCAGCAGACCCAGAAGAAGCAAAACTGCTCTCCCCGGGTTCCCTACGAGCCAAATATGGAGTAGACATTTTGAGAAATGCTGTCCATGGGGCATCTAACTTATCCGAAGCAGAAAGCGTCATCAGTAATGTGTTCACAGAGGATAATTCCGAGGATGAAGAGCAGTAGAGTATGTACTACTGAGTGTATATTTTAATGACTTTGTTTTCTTTTTAATTTTATTTTTGAGATTATAATATAATTATAACTTCCCTTTCCTCCCTCCAAAGTCTCCCATATACCCACCCCTACTCCCCAGATTCACGGCTTCTTTTTCTACTAATTGTTATTGCATGCATATGTATTCCTAAATATAAGCTGTTTAGTTCATATAATATTGTTTTTATGTTTTCAGGGCTGAGCATTTGACACTGGACAACTAATCAATATGATACACAATCTCACAGCAAATTCCCTGATCCTCTGATCTCTCTTGAACAATGTTTCCTAAGCCTTAGGTTCAAGTGTTTAGTAGACATATCCAGTGGGATTGGGCTCTGTAACTCTGCCTTTTGATTGGTAGTGATTTTCTGTAGTTGTCCCTATCTTTTGCAAAGAAAACTTTCCTTGATCAGGGGCAAAGACTACAATTATCTGTGGGTATAAAGAAAAATATTTATAGAATTGTTGTTAGGGATTATGCTGATTTAGTAAATTAATGGTTATAGATTCTTTTTCAATAACCATGACACTACCATGACTGAATAGTTAGCTAGGTTTCCAGTACCATACATTGTTTTCCTCTTGTTAAACAGATCTTAAATCTAACCTTGAGGATGATAACCCTAAGGGTGCAGTACACTACCTCATATGCATGAGTGCGAAATCCCCTTGTTTCAATGAACATGAGTCATGTGGGATACAGAGTGCAAAATCGATGACTTTTTTTAAAAAATCAAACCTAATTTCCCTATTTGTGTTTAAAAGCAAACTTTGAATATCTACTGTATGTCTCTGACTGTGGACTTTCCAATAACAAACCAGTTTATGTGTGGAAAGTTGTCCTCACATTCCTGGGCCAAGATGAGGTTCAGTGTCCACATGAAAGTGAGAAAACTCTGTAAGGAAAAAACAAAAACAAACAAACAAACAAACAAAAAACTTTCAGGAAGGTCTCAGGGATAGAGAAGCTGTTTGGCTCAGTTAGGGTTTCTGTTGCTGTGACGAAACACCATGACCAAAGCCACTTGGAGAGGGAAGGGTTTGTTGGGCTTGCATTTCCACATCATAGTCCATTACTGAAGGAAGTCAGGACATGAACTCAAACAGGGAAGGAACCTGGAGGTAGGAGCTGATTCAGAGTCTATAGAGGGGTGCTGCTTACCACGTTAATCCTCATGGCTTTCTCAGCCTATTTTCTTACAGAACGTGGACCACTAGCCCAATCATGGCACTATCCATAGTGGCTGGGTCCTGCTGCATCAGTCACTAATAAAGAAAATTCCCTACAGACTCGCCTACAGCCCAAACTTATGGCATTTTCTTTTTTGTTGTTGTTTTTTTCTTTTTTTATTAATTTAATTTTAAATAGCTCTCTCCACATGTAAATCTCAGTTCCCTCTCCCTCCCCTCCTCCCCCATCCCTCACCATCCCCCCCAGCCTCCCACCCCATCCCCACTTCCCTCCACACAGGGGATATCCAGAGTTTGTCGTTTCACTCAGGGCAGGGTCCAGTCACTCCCCTAAGAGTCCAGGCTGAGAGAGCATCCCTCCTTGTGCCATGGACACACGAAGTCTGTTTGTATGCCAGGGATAAACACTGATATACTGCCTAGGGACCCATAGGTTACCCAGGCTTCCTCACTGACTCTCACACTCAGGGGGTCTGGATCTGTCCCGTGCTGGCCTCCCAGCTGTTGGCCTGGGGTCCAAGAGATCCCCCTTGTTCAGATCAGCTGTCTCTGCTGGTTTTTCCAGCCCATTCTTTGCCAATTTGCTCATCGCTCTTATCTCTGTGTCACTGAGTTCCATGGGTTCAGTTCAGTGTCTAACTGTGGGTGTTTGCCTCTGCTTCCATCAGTCACTGGATGAAGGTTCTAGGGTGGCTACAGACATCAAGTTCATTATCAGGAATAGGCATTTAAGGTGGTCTCTCTACTATTACTTAGCTTGCCAGTTGGTGTCATCCCTTTAGATCACTAGAGGTCTCACTGGTGCCAGATATATCTTCTAGCCTATGACTCCCTCTTCTCCCTATACTACTCCCCACTCAAACTTCTTGTTCCCCTATGTAAAGAGAAACTTTTTCCTTGAAAGAAGCCTTCCCGCCAGCCTGGTTCTAGAGCCGCATCAGTCCCAAATAAACACACAGGAGGCTATATTAATTATGAAGCTGTTGGCCTTGCTTGTTTCTTACTGTCTAGCTCTGACTTAAGTAATTACCCCATAATTGTTAATCTAAGTATTTCTCTTACCAGAGAAGTTTCCCGGCTTCCTACCCCATGGCATTACATCTTGACTCTCTGTGTATTTTCCATCTTTATGTGGCTTATTTATTTATTTATCTATTATTACTTTATTTTTTTTTTACTTTTATTTATTTCTCTGAGACAGGGTTTCTCTTTGGAAATCCGCCTGCCTCGGCCTCTGCAGCAAATCCTACCGGCGTGCACCACCACAGCCAGCTTCTCTATTATTTACCACTTTGTCGTTTCATTTTGTCTCTCAATCTTATGTATATTTTTAAACACACTGTAAACCTTTAGAGGTTTTGTTCATCCAAGTCTGACTTTACTGTAAATCTTTATGTTTTTCTGGCCACGTGCCTTATCTGTTAAAACCGTGGCTGTTTTAAACTGCCGTTTTTTCCAAGATGGCAGGCATAAACGTGACTCCAGCTGCCAGCTTGGAGATGTGGTCACTGCCACTTCCAGCTGTACATACACACCTTTTAATTGTTGGCAGAGCCTCTTAAAAGAACCTTGTTTTTTTTGTTTTGTTTTGTTTTGTTTGCTAAGTCAGGAAGCCTCACTTAAGCCAGCCGTGTGAATCTCTGTTTGTCACTAGCAAAACAGAGCCCACCTGAGAAAATGCTGCTACCAAAAAACTGTGCTTCTCTCCGTTCTTCTGTTTCTAAAATTCCTTCAAGGCTTTTGTCATTCTACGTGGAAATTCATCATCCCACTCCTGATCACCAGATAAAGAGGATATTCAATGCTATAAGGAAAACAATATATTTATTTACCAGAAAGAGAGAGTCTCACAAACCAGGAGTTAGAAGCAAGCTTCCAAGAGAAAAAGAGAGGTTCCTTTTCCTTTCACTTCCTTTTATATTTACCTGTGTCAGTTTACATGTCCCTGCCCTCATGGGCGGATAGCTTTATGGTGTTCACTCCTACATTCCCCCATGACTCTCTCTTCCTCTTCTCCCCCTCTCTTCTTCCCAGCTCTCACCCCCCCACCCCTCGCCTTGTTCCCAATCTGTTCAGAAGATCTTGCCTCATTCCTCTTCTCTGGGATGCCATGTTCTTTCCTGTTTCCCAGACTCTCTGTCAGTGGAAGTGCAGAGTGGCACTATCCTGATCTAAGTCTAAAATCCATATATGAGTGAGTACATACCATGTTTGTCTTTTGGTTACCTCACTCAGGATGGTTTCTTCTAGTTCCATCCATTTATCTGCAAATTTCAAAATTCCATTGTTTTTTCTGCTGAGTAGTACTCCATTGTGTGAATGTACCACATTTTCTCTATCTACTCTTCAGTTGAGGGGCATCTAGGTTGCTTCCAGGTTCTGGCTATTACAAATAATGCTGCTGTGAACATAGTGGAGCAGATGTCCTTGTTGTATGAATTTGCATCTTTTGGATATATGCCTAAGAGTGGAATTGCTGGATCTTGTGGTATATTGATTCCCATTTTCCTGAGGAATCTCCATACTTATTTCCAAAGTGGGTGTACGAGTTGACACTCCCACCAGCAGTGGAGGAGTGTTCCCCTCTCTTCACATCCTCTCCAGCATAAATTGTCTTTGGTGTTTTTGATTTTAGCCATTCTGACAGGAGTAAGATAGTCATGCCTAAAGTGGGTGTGGTTAGCAGTGTAGTAAACCACTCTTTTATTACCTCATCTGTATGCTTCTCTAGTAAGTCACATGGCTAATGGCGGCACTCGGCTTCCTCCTACAATTCCCCTTTTAGTCTAAAAAGGATATTTAAACTTAAAACAACTAACTTGTGTCAATGAACAAAATGTATCAAACATCTATCCCATCTAAACCTAAATTTATCTGAAAGAAACACCCAAGTCTGAACACCTCCTTACAATCCCAACTCTAAAATAATTGAGAACTAACACTAACAGGTGTAAACTATCCTATAATATCAATAGTAGGGAGAGAGGGCGTGGAATTCTCAAAACTACTTCCTGCTGAGATGGGACGATGACAATCTCATGGGGACCTGTGAGAAGAAAAATGTTAGTGTAACAAAATCTTCAGTAGATCAGTCTCTGTTGTCTCTGTTTGGCAGGAGATGCTTGATTGAAGTTCCTGACTGTAGTTCTAGTGTTGATTGAAGCTCTCGTCTGAAGCTCTGGCCAGATTGTTGAAGGTGTGCTGTTTCAGTTCCTTGGTCCGGATTTGTGTCGAGGGATGTAGTTTCAAGCCAGTTTCAGGATAGTTCTTATCAGGTGGAGTTGATGATGTGGGGCAGTTAAGATGCCTCCACTGGAATCAGGTGGAGTCAAGGAAGTGGATCCTCATTCTCTTTCTGAAGTAGTTGAAGATTGCTGTCACGAAATCCCTTGTTCTCTGGAAAACCCAAACATTAATGTTAACAAAGAAATATTTTAACTTTTATATGTATGCATACTGGTAGAGGTGACAAAAGGGAAGATGGTAAACATGAAGGAAATTAGACTTTTCAGAAAAAGAAATCCACAGATAACAGTCCCTAATTTTATTTTCTTCTGTCTTATATCAATGGCTCTTTGATATAATACAGAAATTCTGAATTTTATTTAAATAATATGATTGCATTTAGAGTAGGAGAGCCAATCCAACTCCAAAGCCAGCTTCAGTTAAATGAATGTGGACTGAAGTATGTGAAGAAATAAAGATAAAAGGGTACTATGAAAAACAATATAGAGAGACTTAGACTTTGATACCACACAGTGAGTTACTGTTTGTTTGATGGTCCTCAGGGTATCTATTCATTCTTCTTCAGTAATCCATATGTCCAGTATTCTTTGCTGAGTTTACCTGTGAAGACAAAAAAGAAAACACTTCTCTTTCCTTTTAGGAGGTCACTTTACCCATGGTAGAATATGAATTTGTAGATGAGCTGTTAACTTCCTCCTCCTGAGATGTCTTCTGTTCTGATCGAATCTTAATTAATTTTGATGGAACCCAAAGCTTTTCTTCTCCTGTGGAAACAAAGGCATAACCCCTTCCCCAACATAACACATATCCTGGTTTCCAGACTGTGGTCATAACATCCTTAAAATACACCGGTTGGTTCAGTTCAGAAGTCTTCTCTGTAGTCCAGTCTCTTTCTGCTGCAGTTTGTCCTTTTTCATCAGCATTAAGAAAATTCAGCTTTAGTAAAGCATTATGTAACCTGTATTTAGGGGGTCTTTGTTCTCCCTGGCTGTTTATGAAGCATTTCTTTTAAGGTTTGGTTAGATCTTTCAATCACTGCTTGTCCTGTGGGATTGTAAGGTAAACCAGTTACACGTTTTATGTTATAATATTTGAAAAATTGTTCCAATTTACTGGAGACATATGCTGGAGCATTATCAGTTTTTATTGTTTTAGGTATACCCATAACAGCCATCACCTCTAAGAGGTGTGTAATAACAGAATCTGCTTTTTCAGAGCTGAGGGCCGTAGCCCATTGGAAGCCTGAGAGCATGTCTATGGTATGGTGTACATATTTCAAACTGCCAAATTTACTCACAAGAGACCAAACAAGTAACCCAGATGAGCCGAGTAGTTTGCCGCCGCCGAACTGGAAGCTGAAAGCTGGAAAAAGAGACCAAGACTTCCATTGTTCAGTCTTGTATACCTTCCCCCGTAACGCCCCTGGCCATGCCCAAAAGTGGGCCTGGCTAGTGATGTAGTTCACCGCCTACATCCGTATACATCTTTAGTCATGCCTAAAGTGGGTGTGGTTAGCGGTGTGGTAAACCGCTCTTTTATTACCTCATCTGTATGCGCCTCTAGTAAGTCACATGGCTAATGGCGGCACACGGCTTCCTCCTACAGTTGATTGTGTCCTTTGCCTTACAGAAGCTTCTTAGTTTCAGGAAGTCCCATTTGTTAATTGTCGATCTCAGTGTCTGTGCTACTGGTGTTATGTTCAGGAAGCAGTCTCCTGTACGAACTCTTTGAAGAGTATCTCCCACTTTCTCTTCTAAGAGTTTAAGTGTGGTTGGATTTATGTTGAGGTTTTTTGATCCATTTGGACTTAAGTTTTGTGCAAGGTGATAGACATAGATCTATCTGCAGTCTTCTGCATGCCAATACCCAGTTATGCCAGCACCATTTGCTGAAGATGCTTTCTTTTTTCCATTGTATAGTTTTAAGTTCTTTGTCAAAAATCAAGTGTTCATAGGTATGTGGGTTAAAATCAGGGTTTTCAATTTGGTTCCATTGGTCTACCTGTCTATTTTTGTGCTAATACCAAACTGTTTTCAGGACTATAGCTCTATAATAGAGCTTGAAGTCAGGTATGGTGACGCCTCCTGAAGTTCCTTTATTGTATAGGCTTGTTTTGGCTATCCTGGGCCTTTTGTTTTTCCATATAAAGTTGATTATTGTACTTTCAAGGTTTGTGAAGAATTGTGCCGGAATTTTTATAGGGATTGCATTGAATCTGTAGACTGCTTTTGGCAAGATTGCCATTTTTATTATGTTGATCCTACCAATCCAAGAGCATGGGAGATCTTTCCATTTTCTAGTTTCTTAATTGAGGTTCCCTCCACTCAAATGCCTTTAGCTTGTGTGAATGAGTGAATAGCAGGAGTCTTCCCAGCAGACCTACATTCCTCTTATAGCTTCTGTTGAGAGTGAGTCTTTCTTCTAACATCTGTATTGCCCTCCTTTTGTGCCAGGGCATTATCACTGATTTGGAGATTTCAAGTTAGTGAATAATTCAGTGCAGAACTAGGAAGTATATATGTTTCATGGGTAGGAACCAGATGGGATAATATTGAAATATCCCTGAAAATGCTGGCTGGAATTTCAAAGTCAGAGATAAAGAGACAAGAAAGATAATCCAGAATTTTTTAAGATTCCAAGTAGACACAAATGCACACAAACACACACACACACACACACACACACAAACACACACACACACAATCTCTCTTGATGCTTGTGTTTAAAGATCCTTTATTGGATGACGCATTGCCGTGCCTTCTGTGCTATGTAATGTTACTATGGGTCTCTTTTAGCCATTTAAGATTCATTTTTTTCAACCCTTGCTGTATGCTGCAGAGCTGGGTATGCGTAATTCTTTATACTTAATGAGTTTATGATGGTAAGAACAGAAGATAGGAAATGTCATGTGTCCTAGGTCTATTGAGAAAAACAAGAGTGATTTCAGCAGATGCTTATGGGAAGTAGAGCAGGAAGAAATGAGACCCAAGTTATCCAGGCAAGACACTTGGCTACAATCGATGTGAAGTATTGCAGAAGCCTGAAATAACAGGGTACAGTGGGTTTAAGATAGGTGGATGATACAGTGATTCTTAGAAGTCTGCAGTGCTCATGTGGGATTTGGCTGCTGCAGTACCTAAGAAATGAGAAAAGATATCCCATGGCTTCAGCCACTGAGTAAGTGAGTTAATAATTCTCAGACAGAAGATTCAAGAGAGAGAAGTCATTTAGAAAGCACCATATATTCTGTGTTGGTCATACCAGATGAATAATATCCATAATTGAAGATAAATCAGGTTATAAGATCTAGGGAGGTTGAGAAGACTCTTGTGCAGTGATATCAACAAAATGTTGGAGCGTGTGATTTTCCTGCTCCTGGAAAATAAGAACATAAGCAGATTTTTTTCAAGAATCTTGGAAATAAAGATTTACAGGAACCTGGAAAATTATAATTCAATATAAGGGCAACCTAAGTTGGTCTAGAATGCTGTTGCATGTTCACTTATCTTGACTTCTCAAGAGGATGACCATGGAAAGACACTAGGTTTCTGGTTCCGAAGACAAAGGAGCAGGTTTTTACAAATTATTGCATTTATCTGATTTTGCTTTCCTATATGACATCTGAATAATGATTACATGTATATGTCATCTAAACTGAAAAACAGCCAACTAGAAAAGAAGGAACATTGCTTGGAAATATTGCTCACTAACTGAGAAATATGCAATTGTGCCTAATGATTAGGGCTAAAATGCATAAAATAGATTGTCTAGAGTCAGGAAAGGCTGAAAGGAAAGAGTCTTTAGGAAACCAGAGCATGCAAAAGTGCTAGTGTATATACTGGGGAGTTTAGAAAATTTTAAAGACACCTAGAGCAGTATATATGCTCATAAAAGATGTGGAAAATCCTAAAATTTCACCACTGGCTGTGTACTCAGTTTGAGCAAGAGGTATAAGAGATTTGATTTACAGACGTAAAAGTGTCAATGTCTTGATTAGACATTTGAGTTTAAGCACAAAAGTAATCTGTAGATATGGAGAGGTATTTGTTGCTGCTATTGAAGCTGGCTTTTAGGAACACTGACAAACTGATAGATACAAAGTAAATCTCCATCAATCAAAAAATGTACATAGGCAAGCTTTCATAATTAATAAGTCTCCTTGTCATTATTTGGGGGTTGGTGATCGAAAGACATTGTAACACAAAAGCTTACTACATGAATTAATATCTGGAGCATACACAAAAAAATCAAGTAAATGAACTACCAAGTTAAAAAATCAAGCTACAGTTTTGTTTAAAAAATTCTGGAAAGAAGAAATATAAATGACTAACTAACACTTTTTAAAATGTTCAATAGATGTAACCATTTTAAAATTAAAACTACTTTGAAATTTATTTTCACCCTAGTCTGAAAGGTTAATATCAATAAGTTAAATCTTAACAAATGCTGGCAATGATGTGGGAAAAGAGGAACCCTCATTCACTCTTGAAAGGAATGCAAATTGGTCAAGCTACTATGGAAAACAGTGTGGAGATTCCTCAAAAAGGAACTACCATAAAATGCAATCATTCCACTTCTGAGCATATATCAAAGCACTGTATATACTACTGCCAAGATACTTGCTCATTCACACTTACTTTTGCTTTATGGAATCAGTGTAAATTTCTACCAACTGGTGAATGTATAATGAAAATGTGGTGTGTGTACACAGTAGAATTTTTATCCAGATGTAAACATATATGAAAATTGCAGACAAATGGGTGCAACTGGGGAAATTATACTGAGTGAGATAACCCAAGCAGAGAAATACAAGTGTGTGTTCTCTCCCATATGTGCATTTCAGCTGTACATCATTATTTTGCAAGTTCATTTTAGAGTTCCTGTGGAAGACAGAGTTGGGGAAAGGTTACCAGGAAGGGGTGCCTTAAAATAAACAGGATAGTACATCAGATCACAGGCAATATGCAAGCAGAGGGGGTAACATTGGGGTCAGAAAAGTTAAAATTGAGAGGGATGGGAGGATTACGGAGAGGAAGTGGGAAAGGAGAGTCACCAACAAAATGGGGACAGAAAGACCTACAATCTTACAACAAAACAAACTGCTCTAAAATTAGTCTATAACACTGAACTTAAGTATTTTTTTTTCATAGAAGTTTGAGAAGGTGACGACGAAGTTTTCATCAACATAAAATCATGAGGTACAGCTTTCTCTAATAACAAAATTCCTCCAATGAAAAGACATGTCAAGATGAAAACTTGCATAGTTATGCCTGGCTACAATAAAACCTGTAACCCCCAAAGGTTCAAATGTTGATTTTTTTCATCAAGGACATAAAATGGACTATATACAGGTATCCAACAAGATATGACACAAGGTAGGAGAAACACAAGCTAGCGAGAAGTCTAGTGCAGATGCAGCCTGGGGAGGAGTGACTTGAGAAAGAATGCTGAAAGCTTTTAACACTTACAAGGTGCTCACAGATGTGACAATAAACTTTCCAGCTAGAAAGTCTAAGAAGGTGAAATATGAGTAGAAACATTGTTTTCAATTTTTAAAAGATTTGTTTTATTTTATGTGTGTGAACATTTTGCCTGGATGCTTGTATTGCAATGTATTCATACCTGGTGTCTGCAGAAGAAAAAAAAAGGGTGTTAGGTCCCTTGAAACTGGAGTTAAAAATGGTTGTATGTGGGTGCTAAGATCCAAATCCAGGTCATCTGCAAGAGCAACAAGTGCTCTTAGCCCTAGTTTTCTCTCTAGCCCCAGAGACTTGCTTAATTTGTAATCTCACTATGGGACTGTGTAGACCACACTTCTAGCTCCCTGAAGGTATGATGCTGACACTATCTGCAGGAAATGGAACAGAAGTAAAAATTTTCATTGAATTTTATCTTTTCCTCTCCTGGGTGAAACTGCATGATGTTTCTTACAGTGAAGGACCCCTGAGTTCACATCCAGGTTTATGTGCAATTCCCAGCCACTAGATGTCACTGGCTTCTCAGTCCACTAAAGAGTGTGCTCTGTCTGGCAAGGGAATTAGGAAGTTCCATGATGGGTTCTGTCTGAGGTTAGTAATAGATTATTCAGTTGAAAACTGTAGTGCTGCAACACTGCTTGATACTACTGAGTGATACATGTGAGTGGTGATTAATTATGTAAAATCTAGTCACATGAGAATTATTGAGGAAAACCTTTCTCATTTTTAAAATTCCAAATGAATTTTAACTTTTTTTAGACCATCACATGAGTATTGTATTTATATCATTCTTACCACTCCCTCTTCTGCTTCCAACTCTTCTCATGTTAGCCCAACTCCACCTCAAGTTCATGACCTCTTCTATAATATATGTCCTGCTGGTTCCATTTGGTATTGCTTCACTGTATTTGTGTTTTGGACTGACCACTTGAATTTGGATAATATATCAGCATGCTTGACCCTGGAGAATAATGAATATCCTTCTCCCAAAAGCCATTAAATGCATGCAGCTCTTCATCTATGCCTTGTGAGATTCTCCCTCTCATACCTCCACATATGTTGGCATGTTAGTTGGTATAATTTTTCAGGTCTAGTTTAGGTGACCATATTGTTGTGATTTTACGGATACAGATTCTTTGCGTATATACAAGACACAATTTTCCAGAAGTCTTGCTGGTCCTTTGGCTCTTAACATGCATTCCATCTTATGGGATGTGTAGGAGGAAGTCTGTATGCCACCATTAAACATGTGACTTAGTAGAGGCGCACACAGATGAGGTAATAAAAGGGCGGTTTACCATACCGCTAACCACACCCACTTTAGGCAGGACTAAAGACATATACGGCTGGACGTAAAGACGTATACGTACATAGGCGGAACTACGTCACTAGCCAAGCCCACTTTTGGGCATGGCTAGGGGGCGTTACGGGGGGGGGGCGGTATAAAAGACAGCACACAGGAAGTCTCGGTCTCTTTTCCCGGAGTTCGGCTTCCGGTTCGAGCGGAAAACTGCTTGTCTCATCTGGGTTACTTGTTTGGTATCTTGTGAGTAATTTCTACAATACTTAGTTTTACTTCCAGTAAGTGTCGCTTATCGTTACAGCGTCCTTTGAAGCCTACAGGATGTCCTAAAATGTTAGGTGTAGGGATTGTGTTTCAGATTATCAATTGATGTTATGCATCCAACATTACTTGTTCTCTTAATTTTGACCAATTGTGGCTTTCTGTAATGATCTCCATCCTGAGCAAAAAGATTCACTGGTGGGGAGTGACAAGTTCACTTATCTATGTGCACAAGTATAGGTACTGAGAATGCAGTTAGGAAGTATACTGACTTAGGGGAGTATACTACTGGCTCTGACCTGGCCAACTACAAGTTTTTGACTTGGTTTAGCAGACATAAATTCCTACCTTTTTAGTGGGATTTAAGTTCAACTAGTTTGTTATTGATTACCCCAAAGATATTAGTGCCACTGTCATGTGCTTGGGCATATCTTGCTGTGTTGATCATTGTGATTCATAGGCTTTACAGATGGATCTATTGATTAGTTTTTGACATTAGCATCTTATACAGCACCTTTAGATACTTTGAGAGTCCTCGGGGAAGAGAATTTCAGGTCAGTTCCAGCTCAATCCCTCAAAGCCCCAGGTCTGAGGTTTATAGTTTCTTCAACATTAGGATCTTACCATCAAGTGCTTGGAGGTAACAAAGGACAATGACAATAACCTATGTTGTTTGTGACTTCCTTGGTCACAACTGGAAGGGATGTTTTCTGTATCTGGCACAGAGGTTTTCGATAGATGGTCAATGGCTTTGGGGGAAAGCATTATCACTCCAAGTGTTATAACTTTATTTAAATATATATATATTATAATATGTATATACATATATACTAATTTATAGATATGTATTTTCAAGTGAGCATAAAATGGCTTTACCCTATCGCTTTATCAAGCACTCTTAGTATTACTTATGTCTACTCTCTCCCTACCCTCTCCTCATCCAGTTAAAACTGCCCCCTTTCCCCCCACCATAGCTTCTGTGTCCTACTATCCACTGGTCACTTTTATTTCCCTGATTTCTGTAATTACTCCACTTTATATATGACATCTAAAGATTCAGCGTCAGTATCTTTGTTACTGTTACTATTACTGTGCTGAAACACCATGTCCAAAAGGAAACTCAGGGATTAAAATTTTATTTAGCTTATATATCCTAAATAATAGCCTATCGAGGGAAGTCAAGGCATGCACTGAAACTAGGCTTGAACTTGGAGCTAGGAGCTGATGCAGATGCCATAAAAGAGTGTTGCTTACTGGTTCACTCATCATGGCTTGATAAGAAAGTCTATGCTCCTCATGTACAAATAAGAAAATGCCCTATATGCCTGCCTATACCTTGATTTTATATAAGCAATTTCTCAATTGAGGTTCCCTCCAGGTTATATGACATAAAACTACCCATCATGGCTAAGGTACGCAAATAAGACAGAACATATGGTGTTTGTCTTTCTGGGTCTGGGTTGTCACTCAGTGCAATATTTCCTATTTCCATCCATTTTCTTGCAAATTTCATGATTCATTTTTCTTTATAGCTGAATAGTATTTCATTGTGTATATACATCACATTTTCATTATCAATCCATCAGCTGAAAGACATTTAGGTTGTTTCTAATTTCTAGCTTTTGTGGATAGAGTAGAAATAAACATGACTGAGCAAGTATCTGTGAAGTAGGATGCTGAGTCCTTCTGGTATATGTTAAGATTTGCTATAGCTGGGCCATATGGTAGATCTGCTTTTGACTTTGTGAGACTCTCCATACTGACCTCTACAATGACTGTACCAATTTGCAATCCCAGTGACAGTCAACCACAGTACTCCTTTTGCCACATCCTTGCTAGCATTTTATGGTCTATTTTTTTTCTCTGACTGGGATAAGATGGAATCTCAAAACTGTTTTAATTTGTATTTCCCTAACAGCTAAGGACTCTGGGCACATTTTAAAGATATTTCCTAGCCATTTTTTCCTTTTTAATAAATTCCATAGCTTTGTTGTTGTTTTTTAAAGCAAGGTTTTTCTGTGTGGCCCAGGCTGTTCTGGAACTCATGTTGTATACCAGACTTGAACTCGTTATACCTGTCTGCCTCTGCCTGCCAAATGCTGTGATTAAAAGCATTTGCTACCATGCCTGGTTGAATATACCTTGTTTTTTTTAATTGGGCTGTTGGTTTTCCCGAGTCATTGTTGAATTCTTTGTATAATCTTGATATTAATCCTCTATCTATAGTTGACAAAGGGTGTCTCCCATTCATAAACTGCTTAATTCAACAGACAAGCAATTGACAAACATTTGTAATGGAATAAGTTAATGAATAAATTTTTGTGACATGGTGAGAAATATGAACTTGCAAGCACAGGATTTTAATCAGCATTTTCAAGGATTCAGAATTTCTGGTTAGGCAAGATGATGAAGCTAAATGGACTTTAAACGTAGATCAATATCACTTGAGTGAATATACATCACTACATCTTTATGATATTTGACAAAGATGCCAAAAATCCAGACTGGACAAAAGAGTACATCTTCAACAAATAGTGGTGGAACTGGATGTCCACATATAGAAGGATGCAATTAAGCCCATATATATCGTCCTACACAAAAATCAACTTCAAATGAATAAAGGGCCCTATGTGTATTTTAAATTATGTATTTGACCTGGGTATAGTGATGCATACCTTTAATCCAAGCACTCAGGAGGCAGGGGCAGGCAGGACTCTGAGTTCAAGGCCTACAGAACAAGTTCCAGGACAATCAGAGTTGCATAAAGAAACCTTGCCTTGAAAAGGATAAATATAAATAAAAAATTGTTTAATGTGTGTATAAATGTACATTGGTTCCCAGGGAGGTCAGATGAGTTCCCAGAGAGTATCATATTCCACAAAACTAGTGTGACAGGTCACTGTGAGTCTCTCAACACAAGTGTCAGGGACAGAGATCATTTCTTCTTCAACAAGCAGCAAATGATCTTAACTGCTGAACCACCCTTCCAGATCGCTGAGTTCATTTAAGAAATGTAAAGCAGCCATTTCCTCTCTATGGATTGTGCTAAGAAACAAGAATAGTAAAAAAAAAAAAACTCCCCTTCACCACTTCCTTTACATACTCCATCAAATGGGCACCACTGCCCTCTGTTTCAGACAGCCTGAATGGGTTCATGACTCCACCATGTGGCATACTGTAATTGCCTGAAAGGTAGTCCAGAACTTTAAAACTACAAGAGCTCCACTAAAATTACTATTACGTTTTGCCAGCAGATGGCAAGCTATGCTCGGTTGCATATATACATGACTCTGTCTGTATAAAGACTTCATATGCAGCATATAGAAAGACCATTTATTCCTGTGCTGTTAGAGTAGGATTTTGTTCTGCTCTTTTGCTTTTGTTTTGTTATTGCTGTTTGTATTTTGCCAACTTTAAAGAAGCTAGAGTCATCTGAAATGAGGGATCTGCAATGGAGAAGAGGCCTGCATCATATTGGCATGTAGGTAAGTCTGTGGGACTTTGTCTTAATTAATAATTGATGTGAGATGGCCCAGGCCATTGTAGGCAGTGTCACCACTGGGCAGGTAATTGTAGGTTGCATAAAAAATTCAAGCTGAGTAATCCATGGAAAAGAAATAACAAGCAGCATTCCTCCTTGGCTTCTATGACAGTCCTCTCCACTGCTTCCCAGCCCCCCATCCCTGCTAACCACATCTTGCTGAGCAGAACATTCTCCTGCAGCCTAATTGCAGTTTTGAAAGATCCATTTTTCCCCAATATATGTTTTTATTTAAATTAGAAACATGCATGCTTCACATGTCAATCCCAGCTCCCTCTCCCACCCCTCCTCCTTGTCCCTCCACCCAATCCCCACACCATTCCCCATGGAGGGTGAGGAACTCTATGGGGGGGAAGATCCATTATTTTACAGCATAAAACAAATTGTTTTAGCTCAGTAGAGCTTTTCAAATCTTTGGTAACAAAAACTTTTGAGACTCCTGCCCCCTTGCCTACCCCTGCTATGCCACAGCTGTGGTTTTCTAAACCTTTCTCTGCTTTTCTCCTGGATGGAGAGTCATTTTGGGCATGAATCTGCTCTCCACTGCTGCCTTCACTGGGGGTGGGCATTGTCCTGTTTCACATGTGGGTTTCTGAAATTCTTGGGCTGGAGTATCAGTTATGATTAGTAAGAGCCCAGCACCACTGGATTGCCACCTCTGCTTTACAAAGATGATTGTTGTTGATTACCTGGGAATGACAAACCCAATGTGATTAAAAAGAGGCCAGCATCACTGATCTAAAATCTTCTGGAAGTATTTCTTGAGAGTCAGTACAGAACGGTTTCTAGAGGGGACCACTGCTGCATCTCAAGTTGGCAGGAAAACTTGGTGATGTGTAGGAGCTGCAGGATTAAGCAGGCCATGCATAGCAGGACTGTGAGAGACCAAGAGAGACCGTTAGTGAACAAGCAGCCTAAGTAACAGTGGAGACCCCAGAACTGAAGGAGGCATGGAGAGAAGCTACGCTTAGCACTGTGTGCCAGGACTGGGGTCCCTGCTGAGACGGTATGGTGAATGAAGGTGCAGCTTCAATTTTAGTGGAAGTCAAGTATTTGAAGGAATCCAGTGGCAGGCATGGTGTCACTTATGCAGTGACTTGAACTTAGTGTGCAGACCTTGATTGACAGGACACTGATCATCTTCAGGGTGAAGCCAGAGGATGCTTGG